GTCTCGGGGGGCTCTGCTGGCTGCTCGGTCACTTTGCTCCCCCGGAGAGCAGAAGCCCGCGTGGCTAGACTGGCTGCTCCCAAGGCTGAGGCCGCTCGTGCCCACAGAGCCGTAAGGAGAGGGCGTCTCCGCTGACCTCTCAGAGCTGACCATGCGGCAGGTGGCCACAGCTGGTTGGGCACGTGAGGGAGGCAACCAATTGATGTCTTTCTCTCTCCCTCAAAATGAATGGGGGGAAATCTCCTTGGGTGAGGATTAAGAAAAAAATTCAAACACCTACAAATCCACCTAGCAGAGAGCACCAGGGTGTAGGAAAAACCTGGTTATGCAAAATGTAGCTGAGCCTCTGAGTCACCAGCAACTCAGCCTGCGCCTCCTTTCCCCGAGCCTTCCCCGAGCCATGACGACGGTCACCTCCTTGCAGTATGGCACCCCGGTCATTAAATACGACAGGAAAGGCTTCAAGGCGCGGCAGCGGCAGCTCATCCTCACGCAGAGAGCCGCTTACGTGGTGGAGCTGGCCAAGGTCAAGCAGAAAATCGAGTACGCGGCTCTCAGAGGTGAGACGCAGGCAACCTGGGGGCAAGTCACGGGGTGGACTTGGCTCCCGGCACTCCAGGCGTGAAGCCCTCGCTCGACCTGAGGGGACGGTGTAGGGGCCTGTTATTCTTTTTTAAATATATTTTATTGATTTTTTTTTTACAAAGAGGAAGGGAGAGGAATAGAGTTAGAAACATCAATCCGCTGCCTCCTGCACACTCCCTAATGGGCATGTACCCACAACCAAGGTACATGCCCTTGATCGAAATCAAACCTGGGACCTGTGAGTCCGCAGGCCGACGCTCTATCCACTGAGCCAAACCAGTAGGGGCGTGTTATTCTTGCATACACACCAGTGGCGCCCATTTTTATTTGGTGCACAACCTGGACAGCCCAACAGCAGGCTGACTGTCCACGGAGGCCCTGCGCCCTGCTGGGCCCAGCGAGGGGGAAGACGGTGGGGTTGGGGAGCCCCGAGGAGCACCTCCCCTTGCACCTGTGCTAATGTCACGTCCCTCCCTTCCTGGCTGCTCACTGCGGTCTGCCTGCAGGTGTCACTACCAGCAACCTGAGCGATGGGTTCTTAATCCTTCACGTCTCGCCGGGAGCCAGCAAGCACAAGGTAACGGGTGGCCTCCGGCCCCTGCTGAGGGCCGAGGCTCGGCGCCCACGTGCCGGTGGGCGGCGGTGAGAGCGCCCCGTCCGTCCTCTCCTCCCCGCCGCAGGGCGACGCCATCCTGCAGTGTGAGCACGTCATTGAGGCGGTGACGAAGCTCGTCATGCTGGTGAAGAAGGAGAACCTCGTGCACATTGTTCAGGGAAGGTAGGAGGTGTCCTCTCCGGGGAGGAAGGCCCTCGGGGCTCAGACGCTTGTGCGCACGTCCGGGAGGATGGGACTGTTGAACTGTGTCCGTTCCCTGCAGGGGGCGGGGAACCTTTTTTTTCTGCCAATGGGGCCACTTGGATATTTATAACGTTATCTGTGGGCCACACAGAATCGTCCACTTAAAACTTGGGTTGCTACAAAAAGGCCCGTAGGCTGATTGGATTGAAGTCCTGCCTGCAGTTGCCTTGGCAGGACCAGGTCCAATGAGATGGCCCCTGGGCCGGACGTTCCCCACCCCTGCTCCAGCCGGGACTCGTCCTTTCAATGAACTTTTTCCCTCTCCCCAAAGCCTGGGGCTCCAGAGAAATGAAGAAGTCGGTGACCACTGGGTGACCCAAGGGGACAGGGTCTGCGATCCAGTATTCAAAGGCGGGAATACTGGAGGAAAGCTGGCCCAGTGGGGCATGGGCCGATGCTGTGGCAGCCTGTTTTGGAGGACAGCTGGTTGAGCACAGGGGCCTCCACTGCAGACTGATGAGGGAACAGTGCTGCCATGTCTTTGGGACACAGAAGAAAAATCCCTGGCGCACAGAGTACCTGCTTGGTTCTCTCGGCAGCTCTGCAGTGGGTGCACCGTCACACAGCTGGGCAGGGACCGTGCTCGGACCCTCAGCACTGCTCCCGGAGCCCCTAAGCAGGCGGCTCCCTCACACTTCTGCTCCCATCACGTCCCCAATCCTTAAAACCTGCTGAGTAAATCAATCCCTATGGGGATGAACGGCGAGAGGTGGAAAGTGGGGCTTCTGTACTGCTCTGCCTCTGCGGGCAGAGCTAGCCCGTGAGCTGTAGTGTGAAGACATGTAGTTACCCAGGCAGCAGCTTGGCCCCTTGAAACTGAAGGAGCCAAACTGATCTTAGACTAACGACAGAGACCTGGGTAAGTTTCCCAGTTATGGAAATGGTTTTTGTCTCTGCATTACTCAAACAGGCACTCAGATCCTATCATCAATCACGTTCAACCTTGAAACGAGTAAAACTTCCTAAATGCATTTCGTTTGCAGAGCAAAGGCAGAGAGAAAAAGGTAACACCAGGCCGGTAGCTCAGCATGTTGTGTGTATTTAAGTTTACAGTTTTACATCAGTCCTGGGAGAGAAGGCACGATAGTTTTCGACACGGGACCAGAAGAACAAATCTATAAAGATAAAAACGGACAGCTAACCGTGGTGAGTTTACTGTCAGCTTAACGGGAGCCAGCAGCTGCCAGTCCATCCTCCTCCTCCTCGGGTTTAAATGGCAAAGCCCTGCTGCTGTGCCTCATCACGGTGGTTCTCAAACTGGAACCTCCTGCGCTAGCACCGCACCCCCAGGCCCTGTGGTGCCATTGGCTGCGGGTGTGGCTGGTGCTCAGAGCTCTGCCCTCCCTGTCCAGTAGCTTATTCTGAGCCCAGCTCGAGCAGCTCCCCTTTGGGGTCACGGAGCCTGGCTCCCTGCCTGCTTCGCTGAAGGCACTAACGGCCTCGCCAGCCCATTTCTGTGTGGCATGTGGAAGCTCCTCCCGCTTACCTGGGAGATGCTGACGGGTGGGGGATCACTGCTTCTTCCGGCCACTCAGCGTGGACTCTTCCAGGTGGTGGTTCTCAAACTGGAACCTCCTGCGTTAGCACCACATCTCCAGGCCCTGTGATGTCATTGGCTCAGAGCTTTGCCCTTCCTGCCCAGTAGCTTACTCTGAGCCCGGCTCCCTGCCTGCTTCGCTGAAGGCCTCGCCAGCCCATTTCTGTGTGGCTTGTGGAAGCTCCTCCCGCTTACCTGCGGGATGCTGACGGGTGGGGGATCACCGCTTCCTTCCGGCCTCTCAGCCTCGGCGTGGACTCTTCCAGGTGTCTGTCCGCAGGAAGTCCTGATAGAGGGTGGCGTCTGCCGAGGCCAGGACACAGGACTTGACCCAGGAAGCTACCCTTTCGAGGGAAGGCCCCCCCAGCTCTGAAGAAACAGAGCGGCTTCTCCTGCCAGCGCCCGACCCCAGCATCTCAGCTGCCCTGGGCGCTAACGTAGGTGTCCTCTCCGGGAGTCACGTCACCCGAGAGGGTGGTTCGAATGCCCCCCATAGGACAGACCCCGCTGCGCACTCTGACCGGCCACCGGAAGGTAGGCACAGATCCCCTACCTTTGCCCGCTGCCTCCAGGCACAATGCAGTGGGAGAGGTGGCCTGAGAGGAAGCAGGTGAAAGCTCACAACGCTGCAAAACACCGGAATTAGAAATGCACCGATTCCTTAACATCTCTCATAGGCGCTCTAGGTGCCGGAGGGTGAGCTGTGTCTCCCCAAAATTAAACTGGTGGCAACACCGGCTGACTGGTTTTGCTTTTGCAGAGCCCAGCTGCGGGTCTGCCCCAGACTTCCTTCTGCTGTTTAACTCGGGAGCTACAGAGAAACGCCTCCGCCTTCCCACCCCCAGCAGCTTCCAGGCGGTCGAGCAGAAGGTACCATGACCGCCTAGCGCGCTCTGCTCAAAACCGCACTTCACTGTGCTGGGGTTTCCCAAAAGACCCAGAAAACGGGCTTAAGTAGAAGCATTATATGACTTTTATTTTACACACGTCCACAGAGGCTGGCACAACATACAGGAACGGTTTCCAAAGCTTACAGCATTTTGTCCACAGCACGGGGAAACAAAGCTTAATGACGCACACATGTGGAGAGAGCGCCCATTCCAAGAGTCGGGCTGCGTGTTCCCACGTGGCCCCTGAACAGCTGCTGGGAGGTACACCTACTAGTAAGCACAGGGCTGGGACCTGCCCAGCTAAGCTGCTGCCCGAGGGCCACAGAAGGGGCTCTGCCAGGGCCCGGCTCGGGCACAGGCCCCTGCACCACAGTCAGATGGCATAGTCAGAAAAAAACACACACAAACCAACTTGATTACAAAGGACCAAAAGCTGTTACCTTTTTCACTGTAAATAAGCAATTACGATGTAATAAAATTTTACTCTTTACCAGATCTTAGGCTCCCCATTTCTGGAGTGTAAATACTGACTTCTGTTTGCCCCCAATGCCAGCATAAGAAAAATTAGGTCCCTGTAGAATATACTGGATAACAGCTGAGCCAGCCAATGCAGCAGCATTAGCCTGGAATGTCGGAGGGACCTCTCGTATCCCGGGGAAGCAGTCGGAGGGAAAGGAGAGAGACAGAGACCGCCAGAAACAGTAGGTCATCAGGTGGAGAAGCCCGAACAAATCACGTGTTCCACAAACGTACTCTTCGTGTAAACATTTAAAAACAATGTATTGGATGGCTTTTCCATTCCTACAGGCAACATCAGAACTGACATTCACTTTAACTTTTCTAGAAAAGTTCAACCCGAACGGCAGGGCTGGTGTTTGAACTCGGACAGTATAAAATACGTAAGAAACATTTCTTAAGCCCCCCTTTCATCACAATAAAACCCAAACGGCCTCACGCGAAGGTTCCCACACGGCAGTTTAAAAAGCATCTGCCCAGCCCTTGGTTTTGGGATTGTCACGATTGTTTAAAGGGTTATCGGAGGCCTTGCAGCTGGATACAAAATGAAGGCGGTACAAAGTCGAAGCTGTAAAAACCATTTCAAAATATAAACTCGTTTTTTTGGGGGGGGGGACTACATTGTATCAGAGGCTGCCCACATGAATACCTTTGGTATAAAACAGTAACATTTCCCTTAAAAGGTGGACAAAGCCACTCACTACCTTACACACATTCCTCTCACCTGGTCACTATACCTAGTCTAGTCTCAACCACCGACACTGGTCACATCTCGCTTCTGTCCCCGACAGGCGCAGAGGAGACTGGGAGGTAGGTACCGAGAACGCCCTTCCCACATGAGCACCGCGGAGTGCCCCACATGCACACACCCTCACACACGTCCCCTGAACACCATGAACACTAACCGCCCCCAAACGGTCTGCACATCTTCCTGACAGCCACTCCGTACACGTCAAAACCAGAGGCAGAGACACCCAGGGGTCTCCGGTAATGGCTACGCTGACAGCAGGCAGGCTGCCCCGAGGCTGCTGGTGAGTGGTGGTCCCGCGTGGATGCCAGGCTGGGGCCACACTGAGCTTCTAAGCAAAGGGCAGGCACCTACTGCGGCAGCAAGCCCAGCTTAAGGGGGGAAGGAATGGGTCCCTCGGTTGTGAGCCGGCCTTCCCGGAAACCAGCGGAGCAGGAACAGGACGAGCTCTCACCCGAGCCAAGGTAGCAAGAGGCTTGCCCCCTAACCAGATCAGGCATCCGGAGTGACACAAAGCACACCAGGCCCCGCCTCCACTGCCACACGCCGCCATTATTTACCAACACGCTCTGGGCAAGAAGTCCTGCTGCAAAGCCACGTCTGGAAGGCGTGCTTGGCGGGCGGGAGGATGAGGAAGGATGGAGCCTGAAGACACCCCTGGTGGCCACCAGCTGACAGCTCAGAGCTGTCACACTGAACCCCAAAGACAACGCCCGCCATCCAAGAAGCTCCCACAGGCAGTCAACATCCACAAAAATAAATACTGCAAACGACAGTCCTCACGTACGCCTCACACGCATCCATACTTTTCTTCTGAGAACCCAGAACCTCCCAGGTTCTCAGAAGCAGAGCCCTTGGACACAGCTTGTCAACAACACGGGAGCGTTCACCTGGTACAAATCAATCCACCTTGTCGAGAAATATCAAAATAATCTGGCTTGTTACAAAAGTCTCTCCAGACTCCAGGGGGGGTGGAGGTGCCTGGGAGCCTGCAGGGGTCAGTGTGGAGCGTGGGAGGAGGAGAGCTGGCCCGCTTGCCTGCTCACTGGTGGAGGTGGGCGCGGTCGTCGGGCCGCTTGATGTGGATCCGCCGCACGCGCTCGATCCGCTCCCGCTCCCGCTCCTCGTCTTCGTCCAGGTGGTGGGAGCGCCCTGCCGCCCCGCCTGTGGCCTCCAGGAGCGCATTGTCAGGTCCACGGCCGTCCTGGGCCTCATACAGCAAAATATTCAGCGTCTCCTCATAAATCCGGGCCTCCGGGAACTCCACCTGCGCCCCCACGAAACACAGGGCAGGTGAGCGGGCATCACACACGGGCCTACCATCACACCCAGTACTTGCAGGCTACTCAGTCCCTGGGATTCCATGTAAGCCCGAGGAGAGCAAGGGAACAGAAGATCTAATGGGGCACAGGCTGTGACGGCTCCCACAGCAGGCATTAGCTTGCAGAACGGCGCAGAGACAGAAGGGAGATGATACGTATACTGGTTTGGAGCGGATATAAAAACAGATCCTCAGTGTCCAGATCAGCGAGGGGGTCAGTGCTCGGAAGGAAGTCAGCAGGGTAGGAGCTAAGGATGCCGAGCGGGCCCCGGGACGGTGGAGGGCTGCTCTAGGTGAGCGGGTCAGAGGACGACAGATGGCAGAGAACAGACAGAAAGTCAAGGTCAAGATCTTGAAGGCAGCCCTGTTCCTCTGATGACCAGGACGGGATGGGGCAGTGCTGGTGGGAAGCGTGTTGAGGGAGGATCAGGAAGAGCAACGGCAGCAGATCAGTGAGGCAGGAGGCAGCGGGCAGCAGGCAGCACACGGGTAGCAGGATATACCCGAGCCAACACTTAGGGCACATGTGTCAAACACAAGGCCCGCGGGCCAAATCCGTCCCGCCAGGCCTTGCAATGTGGCCCGCACCGCGCTGTCATCACTGCACTCCGCTGCGTTTCCATCACAATGACAGTTTATGACTGTTCAGTAAACCATTCGGCCCGCGATTTAGGCTGGATTTTAGATTTTGGCCCCTTCTCTGATTGAGTTCGACACCCCTAACTTAGGGCAAAGGACCTCAGATGCAGCGAGGCTGCCTCTGCACGCCGGGTGGCACAAGAGGAGCGCCATTTGGATTCTCTAAGACCCGCACCTGTGCCTGAGCTGGGCCCGAAGGACCATGAAAGCTGCGCAAGGACACACGCCAGGCTGGCCACCCAGAACCGCCTGCGCCACGCCCTCACCTTGGTCTGCTTCTTCTCGGTGGCGTAGACGATGGAGGTACAGCAGACCTCGGCGATCTTCCGGCCCTGCCCATAGAAGGACCAGCAGCAGATTTCGTCCCCGATGACGTCCTTTATGAACAGGACCCTTCCGTTGAAGCGCAGAGAGAGCTTATCGAAGAGTTCAATGTTCTTCAGCATATTGTCGTCAGAATTGCTGCAAAAGGGCATTGAGTAAGGTGACCGCCAGCTGGGGATAGCCGCCGCCGCCGCCCCTGGCAGAGTGTCCCCATGTGGGACCCGTGGTCCCCGCTACCCCGTTTCAGCCTCACCACGACCCACAAGGAAGGCACCACGCTCCCCGCTGCTCAGAGAAGGAAAGAGAGGGCCTGAGAAATGAGAGGATTACTTGAGGTCAAAAACGAATGAATGGCAGAGCCAAGGCCTCAAAAAAGATAGCTCTAGCCACTCAGCCTGACCTCCTAGCCAGTGTGCAGAGGCGGCTATGCTGCGTGTGCCACCGCCAGAGGTGGAGCTGAGAGCACGGGCCTGCGGGTACTGGCACCGGGTGGGACATGGAGGACAGCTCAGCAGGCACAGCGACGGCAGGACCGAACTGCCAGGGCGACACTCTATCCTGGTCAGATTACGGGTCTTGAGTGACTGCATCAGGTCCCTCAGATTCCTGATTTAGAGTCACAAGTTCCCAAGAGCCACCAGGCATTCTAGAAACCTGGAGATGTTGCTGGTGGGGAACTGAGTGATGGCTAATGGCTACCAGGTTGCTTTTGGAGGTGATGAAAGTGTTCAAAAATTAGGTGAGGGCTGCACAACCTGTAAATACACTGAACTACTGAATTACATACTTTATAGGGTGCATTTATGGTACACGTGAATTTTATCTCCTCTCCAGCATCCCCCTTTCTTGCCATCTCCCCATCTGGCTTCCTCGAGGTGCAGAGGCGCTCTCATCCAAAGGGAACAAGCGGAGCTGGGCCCGCAGGTGTGAGCGGAGGCTTTCCCAGTGGGCACCGGAATACAGATGTCTTTCTGGCTGGCGCCTTACCTGGTATATGAGTATTTGTTGTTACTTCTGTTGTAGAGTAACTTCACGGCTGGCTGTGGGTTGATTTAAAAAAGGAAGAAGAGGGTTACTTGGAGTGCAGATGCCATAAACCTCTGGCTTCCCGTAGGGCTGACCCTAGCACCAGGCCGAAGAGGCAGACAGCACAGCCTGCTGGCCGGGCCGGGCCGGGCCGGGCTCGAGAAGGAGACTGTGCGCCCCAATAGCAGGGAACACAGGATGAGCCACGGGTTCCCATTCTGAAGCCCTTCTCGGGTCTTCCTCGGGCAGTGACAGAAGTTCTCATCTCAAAACGTGTTCGGAACCTCTCTCATCTCTGATAGCGAGAAGAATGCCACGGGGCACCTCCAACATACCTTATTTGAAGTCGCTATAAGTTTCTGTTCTTCTTTGGATGAGGTGATAACGGGGACTTTGCAGAAAGGCTCGTAGGCATCTTTGTTCTGCTGGAACAAAACGTGCTTTCAGCCGAGGGGGCCAGCTCTGCACAGGGCTGGGTGAGCTGGCCCGCGGGCAAAGGCGGGCTCTGGCGAGGGCAGGCGGGCAGTCATGGTGGGAAGAGAGGAGGTGCTTACTACCAGTGAGTCAGGATGAGGGCATGGCCAGGAGTCGAGTTCTCCAATACGCCTGCTATTTGGCTGCTGTTATACGCCAGGCGCTCAGTAAACAATAAGAACGATGGCTTGTTCCCACAGCCCGGGGAGCCACGCAAACATAAGCCCTGAACATGGAAGCTGAAACATGACTGCATCAAAGCTCCCCAAACCCCACAGCAATGCCTCAGAAGAATTAAGAAAAGTAAAGCCCGTAAGAAAAAAAGATTGAGAGAAGTGAAGTCAGCAGGCAAAAGACATAAACAATCTGAGGCTGAAGAATAGATTACAGATGCGTGATAAGCAGAGAAGAAGTTGGAACGTAAGTCAGCAGATGGGACAGGATCCTGAAGATTTTCAAGGACAGCTCTGAAGGTGGGGGCACAGGGCACAGGGGAGGCTTGCCCGCCAGGTGGCAGCGCCCCTTCCCCAGCCTGGCAAAGGCCCGTGTTCCTGGAATGGTGTGCACAGGGCTGAGCTGCTATTCTGGAACAGAGGGAGTAAGTGAATGGTTTACACACTGAATGGTAAGCCGCCCCCACCCCACCAGCTCCTTCCTTTCCTCAGATCCCAGACGGCCGCCTGTCCGGCTTATTCCCTCCTCTTGGCAAGAAGAAGATTCCTCCACCAGGAGCTGACCTGCCCAAGAAGAGGCTGGCAGATCTGACACGGGGTTCCCGCTGGGAAAGCCAGCCCATCCTTCACCACTGAAGCCTACAGGACAACAAGGACCACCCACAGTCGTATCGCTTGCTTTTCAGAGCCTTCCTCTTAAATTCCAACAGGCCAAGGATCATCAGATTGTAAGGGCAAAGCCTCTCAAACATGAGACCAAACAAAGAGAGAAAAGGTAAGGGAAGGAGTCAGACGATGAAGGCAGTGGAAAGAAAACCTCCAGTACCAGCATCATCAGACAGACGAGAGCAGATTTTCCATCCTATGAAACAAGATCAGCCTGCTACATGAACAAGAGCATGGGAGAACAAGAAAAGGCTCTTTGGAAGTTAGCAATGTGACAGCTGAAAACATTCGATGAAAGGGCTGAAAAGATGAAACTGAAAAACTAAAACCAAACCCCTGAGAAAGTGGAACAGGAAGATAAGCGTAATAGAAACTGGGCCGAGGTCAGTCTTGGAAGTTTAACCTCAGACCAATGGAAACCACAGAAAGGAACCCAAAGGGCATGTCTCCACGGCAAAGACGAATCGGACGCACCGCTGCGTCTGCACCTGCCGACAGGCGAGAGGACGCTACACCGCGGAGACAGAAACGAGCCAGGAAGCAGTCAGGTGGCCTAACAGTACAGAGAAGCCCGTGGGTCGCTCTCACCCAAGGGGAGAGGCTTCAGGCTGACTCACTAGCTCGCACAGCGGGCAGGGAGGCAGGAAGTACCCCGTTTTGCAGAGCAAGGCCGGTGGGTCTGGGCCCCGCCCCCTGGTGGGAAGGAAGGGTGATGCCTACTTGCAGGGCTGCCTGGCACTCTTCCACCAGGCCCTGGACCAGGTAGTACTTGGCTTCTGCCAGCAGCTCCTCGATCTCCCGGCGGCTCTCCGGCAAGGGCACGGCCCCGTCGCGAAGGTAGTTGAGTATCGTACCAAAGTGCTTCCCACAGCGGTCAATGAGGATCCAGCCTGCAGTGAGAGGAGGGGGAAGGGAAGGGCTCACTGCACGGGCACTCCTCTCTGGGGAGGGCCTGAGGAGAACGGGGGTGTCTCCTGGCTTCTCCTGCTCCTCCTGCCTCCCGGGAGAGCAGGACCACAGAGAGAGTCACCAGCAAGCGGCTGACCAGGCCCTGACCAGAGCACAGTCACAGCCTCCAGACCCTGCTGGCGAGGAACCGCCACACGGGACTCGTCTGGTCTCAGGCTCTTGGATACCAGGGTCCCTGAGGCCTAAAAGCATGTTTCTTTAAATTCCCTTAAAACCCCTTACACAAGAACATCCCCAGAGGGGCCTAGATGCCACACTTGGATAAAAATGTGTCCACATGACCCCAACAATAGGAAAGGCCCTAGAGTAAAAATATCTACTCTTTTAAAAACAAACAAAACAAAAAAAACACACTTTTTGTTGTTTGTTTTTTTAGAGAGAGAGAAAGGGAAAGAGAGGAAAATCAATGAGAGAGGAACATCATTGATGGGCTGCCTCCTGCACGCCCCCTACTGGGGAATCGAGCCCACAAGCCAGGCAAGTGCCCTGACTAGGAATGGAACCTGCAGACTTCTTGGTTCCTAGGTCGACACTCAACTGTTGAGCCACACTGGGCAGGCTCTACTCCCTCTTTTTACCAGCCTTTTTCTATGAGATATTTTTCCATATCAAATATGGAACAATCCCTGCTGCCCAGATCCAGGACAGTGAAAAATTCTTAGTGGTAAGGTGGGGATAGGGAACCTGATTCTGCCAAGGGCCATTTGGATATGTATAGCATCGTTTGCAGGCCATACAAAATTATCAACTTAAAAATTAGGCTGCTAGATTTGGTCAAACATTGAATTAACTCACCCCTAATGCCTTGGCAGGGACAGACCAAATGGTTTCTCGGGTCTTACATGGCCCTGGGTCAGGCCAGAGGGACAAGCCCTTCCACTCCTCAGTGCCCTCTGCAGCCTCAGCACTGGCCTGCTATTCCTCCCCTAGAGATGGGATGGGTTTGCAAAATTACTCTGCTGAAATGCAAATATCCTTGGGAGTGGAATTTGGAGGAGGAAACAGGACTGGAACAGAGACCATGTGTGTCTGGTAGAAAATGTGAAACACTAGAAAGAAGCCAGATAGTCTGGCCTTCCCAACCAGCAGGGCAGCCTCAGGCAAGGTCTTCCCCGGTCTCCGGTCCCAGGTTACAGGTGAGACACACCAAAGCATGAGGCAGCTGGACGGTTTAACAGAAACCAGTAAACTTATGCTCACAGTTCAGGAGAAGGGGCCCACATTTCCACTCCTAACACTGCTGTGCCCTGACCCACGTCCTCCTCAGACCCCCAGGCCCCGAATCAGTGGCAGAGGCCAACAAAAGCCAAGAGCAGCAATGCACCTTTTTCATATCCAGTCACATATCTGCTCACCTCCCCGCCCCTGCGTCCCCCAAACCCAGCCCTGCCAAAAGCCCTCCCCTGGTTTCCGCAGACCAGGAGGGAATCTTCGCAACAACCACCAGGACAGTGGGTAAGAAAGCCATCCCTGTGCTCTCCTCCTGCAATTCCTCAGCCCTCACTTCCTGGGCCTTTGGTCTCATCTCATCTCTCTAGAACCTTCCACTGGTATTTCCAACAGCCATGGTTTCCTTCCTAAGTGGGAAGAACATGGCAGACACAAGGCAAATGTGCGGCTGGAGTTTAACGCTGGCTTCCAGGAAGAGCGGGATATCCGTGACCTTGACTGTCTGCTGGACATGACCCCATTCTACAATCGAGACACCAAGTTTACACTTAGTATCTGTTACGTAGCTTGGGTGCCTGAGGGGGGTTGGGGCAGGCAGGACAAATGGGTGCAGGTGGGCTGCGCTGCTGGCCGACCAGAGAGCAGTGCGCTGCCCCGTGGGGTGTTGGGGGAGGGTGGGGGTGGGGGCTCTCCCAGCTCCAGCTCAGAGTGGCCAGGCAGAAAGGTGGGTCCAGGGCTGCGTCAGCCTCCGATGTTTGAAGCAAAGCCCAAAATGCAGATTTTTGTGAAATCTGATTTTAAAGAATGGTAAGCTGGTTTGTTAAAAGCCTGTCATGAATGCACTGTGGGGCCCCCGAAGCACCTCTGTGCTACCCTGGAGCCAGTGTTTTCCTTCCAACAAGTTGACTAGGTGGGAAAGACAGCGTTATCTTCCCCTGAATTTCCCACAGATGAACCCAGAGCTCAAATTGGGGAGACAGAAATAGACAACAAAGCAGCAGCAGCTCAGGAAAATTACTTTCAGGGGAACCGAGAAGGCCAGTGAGGGTGAGACCAGTAGAACCTCAGTCTTTGAGAGAAATGGCAACCCTCTCAGCCCAGCTGCTCCGGGAAGAAAACGTCCCATTCAGTCTTTGATACACGGACATCTCAGCCGCCTGGAAAGCGGGAGGGCCCTTAAGATCAATCAAGTGATTTCAATTACGTGAGCTGTCGCAGTTTCCATAAACGAGCAGGCAGGCCGGGCCATCATACTGGGCTCCAGCTCAAGAATGCAGCCAGGAAATGCTTGTGGGGAAGGAATCATACTTTGGACAAATAAGGGCAAAGGAGCCAGGCACATTCCCCATGAGGTTTCAATTAGCATTCTGAATTTGAAGTATTTTAGTTGCTTTCAAAGCAGGGCCCTGTCCTTTGAAACAGCCTCGCGCGTAGAGAAGCAAAAGTCAAGCTCGCAGGGCGTCTTTCCTGCGGCCACAGAGCACAGGGCCGCGGGGGAAAGCCTGCACAGGGATCCCGGGCCTGGCGGTGGACGGGGAGAGGCTCTGGGACGTGTGACACGCAACACAGCACACGGGTTAGAGCGTGGGCCCGTGCTGGAAACCCAGGTCTGTGTGCTTGCTGGGTGACGTTAGTGTTCCACTCGACCTCTCTGCCCAGCAGTTTCCTCTCCTAAAAATGGTGCCTCCCACGGCTGGCATAAAAAGGTGCGATGAGGAATATACGGGGAACACACAGCACAGAGCTGAGTCTATTGGCAGCACTCAGGTTAGGTCCCGGACAATGAGCCCTTTGCGCATTTCATCGCCGCTGCCTGAGAATGAAGCAGCATCCACAGGCAGCACGGTCCACCCTAGGAGGGAGTCTGGGTGCCTTTCAGGTACCTGGGAGGCAGGCCCTCCTTCTCCCATCCCCCCAGCATCCCATGTGCTTCCTCTCCTTTTCCTCCCCCACTTCCTACAGGGAGCTTTCTTGGACCTAACTTGCCTGATCATAAGTCACCTGAGGGACTTGTTTCAAATTCAGATTCTAGGAAGCTGCCTCGTTCTGAATCAGAATCTCTGGGGCAGGATTTCTAAGCCTCAGCACTACTGACATTTGGGGTTGGATAACTGTTATGGAGGGTCTGTCCTGCATATTACAGGGTCCTCCCCAACATCCCTGGGCCCTGTCCCCTAGATGCCAGTAGCACTCTCACCCCCAAATTGTCACAACCAGAAATTTCTCTGGACAAATGTCCCTGAGGGATCCAAATCATTCCTGGTTGAATACCATGAGGTAGATAGGAAAGCAAAATGGAAAAAACAAAACAACAACAACAACAAAAAAACACACAAAAATGGAGGCAACAAAACACACAATTTAAAAACCTATAAAACTAAGATTTATGTTGTTTATATTTACATAAAATAAAGCCATAAAGGAATAAAATCCAGAATGCAATTTTCTTTCTACATAGCAAAAAGGAAAATGGGAAAGTGTGTAAGATGCAATCAGGCAGCCATTCAATGAAACACAAACATAAAAAGATGCTTAACCCACTAGAAATTAACTAAAGCAACAGAGTACCATATCATAGTCACCAAATTAGAAATAATTAAAAGTTTGACAATACCCAATGCCGGCAAACATTCAGACCTCTGTGCGGAGTGTAAACTGACACAACTGTTAACATCAAATGGAGCTGAAGATGCTGCTCCCCCCCCCCCCCCCCCCCCGTGCCACCCCTGGGAATGAACTCTAGGACAGTGCTCCCAACCCTGTTTAAGACCTTAATGCTGCAGCCCCAGAGGCAGCTGATAGGGCCTGGAGAGGTCAGAGCCCCCTCATTTACCAAAGTAAAATAAGACTTTCTGGGTGTGCCATGATGTGGAAAAGCTGGGAAGCACTGGCCTAGAGAAACTTACACATGACAGGGAGTGTTCAGAATGATAATGTTCCTAACAGTGGGCTCTAGAAACAATCTAAATAACCATCAGCAGAAAGTGAGTTGAAGAAGGACAGAAGGGACTGACACGAAATATTCAAAGTGATGAAAAGCAAGGACCTACAATCAAGACTACTCTACCCAGCAAGGCTATTACTTAAAGCTAGCGGCCCAGGGCACGAATTCACGCACAGGTGGGGTTCAGCTGGCCCGCCCCAATTGGGATCAATAGGGCTGGGCCGGCTGCAGGGAGTTGGCCGGACAGCCCCATCTCCTGGTCAAACTGCCGGTTGAACTCCCAGTCGAACTCCTGGTCGAGGGGGCAATTTGCATATTAGCCTTTTATTAAAGAGGATTGGAGGAGGAAAAAAAGAACTCCCCAGATAAGAAAAAAACTGAAGGAGTTCATCACCACCTAATCAAAAAAAAATTTGATTAAATTTCTTTAAAAGAAATGTTAAAGGGATTTCTTTAAGAAAAGTAAATAAATAGGAACATAAATATGTCATAAAATGGCAATAAATATGTACCTATCAATAATCACCTTAAATGTAAATAGATTAAATGCTCTAATCAAGAGACAGGGTAGCTAAATGGGTACAAAAACAAGACCCATATACATGCTGTCTACAAGATATCCACTTCAGATCAAAAGATACACACACTCTGAAAGTACAGGGATGGAAAAGATATTTCATGCCAATGGAAACAAAGAGAGAAAGCTGGGACAGCAATTCTTATAACAGACAAAATAGCAACTTTAAAACAAAGGTTATAGTAAGAGACAAAGAAGCACACTGCATAAACAGGATCAATCCAACAAGAGGATATGGCCCTTGTAAACATCTGCACACCCAATGCAGGTGCACCTAAATATATAAAGTAAATATTGATGGACACAAAGGGAGAAATCAATAGTAACACAGTCATAGTGGGGCACTTTAACACCCCAATGGATATAGACTTTACAGACAGAAAATTACGGAAACAGAGGCCTTAAATGACACATTAGACTTCACCGATTTAATTGATATTTCTAGAGCATTTTACTCTAAAGCTGCAGAATATACATTCTTTTCAAGTGCACACGGAACATTTTCTAGAGACCATATGTTAGGCCACAAGACAAATCACAGTAAATTTAAGAAGACTGAAATCCTAGCAAGCATTTTCTCCGACCATAATGGTATAAAAATAGAAAACCGAGTTCAAGAAAAGAACTGAAAACACACAACTATATGGAGCTAAGTAACATGTTACTAAACAAGGAATGGGTTAACAATGATACCAAGGAAGGAACCAAAAGGTACCTTGAGACAAATGAAAATGAAAACGCAACAACCCAAAAGCTGTGAAACACAGCAAAAGCAGTCCTAAAAGAAGAAATTCATAGCGATACAGACCTACCGCAAGAAATAAGTCTCAAAAAAACAATCTTGTCTTATACTTAAAGGAACTAGAAAAAGAACAACAAAGCCACAGTGAGTGGAAGGAAGGAGATGAGATCAGAGGGGAAACAAACCACATAGAGTCTAGAAACAATACAAAAGATCAATGAAACCAAGACCTGGTTCTTTGAAAACATAAATAAGGTTAATAAATCTTTAATCAGACATCAAGAAAAGCAGACAGAGGACCCACATAAAATCAGAAATGAAAGAGAAGTAACAACTGACATCACAGAAATACAAAGAATTATAAGAAAATATCATGAACTATATTCCAACAAATTGGATAATCAGGAAGAAATGGATAAATTCCTAAAACATATACTCTTCCAAGACTGAGTCTGAGAAAATCTGAGTAGACCAATTACAACCAATGAGATTCAATCAGTAATTAAAAAGCTCCCAACAGACAAGCCCTGGACTAGATGGTTCAGTAGCTTTTGAGAAAGCATTTCCCATGAGATGTGGAGCTCTCACTTTTCAAACTGTAACAACAGTACAGCACCCACCCCTTGAAGGGGTAAGGTGAGGCATAAATGAAACAACACCCATAAAATGCCACTTGGTGAGCTTTTCATGAGCGTCTGAAGGCTGCTGGAGGTTAGGGAAATGCAAAGAGCTGAGATTGGAGTGTCGGAGGCAGCACTGCTTCCGGGAGATGCTGGGCTTCCCGGAAGCGAGAGGGAGGGACATCTGGTAGCAGCTCGTTAGAAGCAGAGGCAGGTCCCCTGGTACCACCCCCAGCCATCTCCCAGTTCCGGGACAGGTGAGCTCGAGGACTCTGTCTCTTTTGGGACAAGTGTTAGGCCACCAAGGTGAGGAGGCTTCCTCTTTGCTTCGGAAGCGCCTCGGGCTTTCCTGATCCCCACGGGAGACTGGGTGGGGGAGACTGGGTAGGGGAGATTGGGTGGGGGAGACTGGGTGGGAGAGACTGGGTGGGGGAGACTGGGTGGGAGAGACTGGGTGGGGGAGACTGGGTAAGAGAGACTGGGTGGGGGAGACTGGGTGGGGGAGACTGGGTGGGGGAGACTGGGTAGGAGAGACTGGGTGGGGGAGACTGGGTAGGGGAGATTGGGTGGGGGAGACTGGGTGGGGGAGACTGGGTGGGGGAGACTGGGTAGGAGAGACTGGGTGGGGGAGACTGGGTAGGGGAGATTGGGTGGGGGAGACTGGGTGGGGGAGACTGGGTAGGGCGGAAGAAAAGCCACAACAATCCTGGGCTCTCCAATAAGGTCTATTTCCTCCTGCAGCCCGGGGGCCATTGTCCCGATTTCCACAAATACTCTGGGCAACGCCGGGTGTGGCCCGGCGAGGGGACACTCCCCCTCATACAAAGCTCGCTTTTATTTGGATTAAGGCACAGGCCGTTCTGGAAAGCCAAGTTCACGGGAAGCCTGCAGCCTCACGTTCTCCACGGCACAGAGGGAAACACCCCAACCAGCGACAGCCCGCCCTCAGCCCTCCTAGGAGCACAGAACGCACCGTGCACACCCAGCCACGGACCCCCATCCCACCTACCGAGTCACAACTCACCCGCCCTCTCGGAAGTCACTGCCCCTGGGAAGGCAGGGGCATCGGCACAGAGGCGGCCTCAGACACAGGGGAGCTGGCCAAGCCAGGTTGTGGTCTGGCCAATCTCAAGCAATCTCAGGCCAAGGAATGTAGGATGGGGCCATTTTAAACCACATGGGACCTGCTCCCTACACCCAGGCAGGTAAGGGCGACCCCTTTTGTCAGGCGCTCTTTGACCTTCCAGGTAGGCAGGAGGTAGTTATGGTAAGATGACTTTAAATAGTTTTTAGCCTTTTACTAACATGATTTTCCACAAGAAAGAAAAAGTACTGAACGAACATACATATTCAATATACGTATTCATGGTGCCCATTTCACCAGCTGAGGGAAATAAGACCTCAACAGCTTAACCACCTGGATCAGGATCACCAGCTTCTACACCGGGAGCTGTGATTCATTCCGAACCACCTTGCTCAGGATCACCAGTGACTAAGTGGGGAGCCATGTCTCAGCTCCGCTTTTCTAGGCTTCCCTCGAACTCGGTCTGTGAACTTTGCCACGACCCCATCCTAAGAGGACAAGCGTCCAGAGGAAATGCTCACGACTCACACTGGAGCTTCTCCCTGAAATCAGAGGCCCATCACTGCGAGAACAGGAAGGGAACCAACCAGGGCAGCTAGTCCAGCCTCCATACAACAGAGCTGAGGCCTGGAGCGGGACTGGGAGTTTCTCAAAGTCATGCAGCAAATCGACAACCTCATGCAGCAAATCAACAAGTTGAGATGGTGAGTCCCTGTCCAGCTGACTCCTACTCATCTCGAGGTCTCAGCTGAAATGCCACTTCCTCCGGAAAGCCCTCCTTGACCACCCTCCCCCCCCCCCCCCCCCCGGTTCAGTCTCTGTTATTCCCCCCCTCAGGGGTCCCTGCACACCATGAAAACACTGAGCCCACCGTGCGATCTGCAGCCGTGCGCATTTCCTGGTGGCTTGCTGAGCTAGAACGCAGCCCTCGACCACACGCGCACGTCCCCGGCGCCTTGCGGGCGGCTTACCTTCACTGTCGGTGAGCACCTCCATCCGCCCGCTGAACATGGCCTTCAGCATGGTGTCCTGCTTGGTCAGCGTCTGCATGGTGGTGTAGTAGAGCGCGCCGCCCACGTTCAGCTTCACATACTTGGAGCTGGGGCTCGTGCCCTTGAAGGAAGTGGTGCGGGTAGCAGCCGCTGGCACCGCTGAGCTCACCACGCTTTCTCCTGACATCTCTTCCTGCGGGGGAGAAGACACAAGGTCACCGGGGTCACGGCACCAGGTCTGGTTTACCTCTGAAAGCCACTGGCCTCCAGATGTGTTCTGCTCAGTCCAGGTATACTCTGTGTTTAAAACAAACTCGACTCTCAATGCGGACAGCTCAGGAGTTCACAGAAAAATCTGGATGTCTGGCTTCTCTTAACATTAGAGGCCAACTTGGCCAGCAGGGCCACAGCTGGTGGGAGTTGGGGTACTGGCTTCCCCCTGGCAAGGGGCAAGTACTCCCCAATCTGCCCCCAAACTCCACCCAGGTTGCCTCATACACCGGCCTCACCTGCTGACCGGTAGGTACAACTTTGCCACTAACTCTTGTGTTATGAGGACTTCCTTTCTACCCACTCAACACACACACTGGCTGCAGCCTTAGGCGCTGCCCACGTCTCTCTCATTGCCAGGCACACCAGCCAGCCACCGGTGCCACCTCTCAGCTGAATTACAGATGAAACGAGCTTTTATGAAGGTGAGTAGGATCCCAACTACCACTCCTAATACTTCATATAGAGAAAAGAAAAAAAAAAAAAGTGTTTCTGAGGACTAAACACTCTTGGAAGCAAGTTATTGCAAAATTATTAAGAGACTTCCTGTACTAGCGCTGCCCCGAACAGCGCGATCTGATAACAGTCTCTGTAACAACACTGCCAGCTCTCGTGTACGGATCAGAGAAATGAAGGCGGGGTCCAGATTTCAACGGGCGCAGGAAAGGAGACTGGTACCTGGCACATGCGTACTCAAAGAAAACATTCCTTGCATTAATAGGGAGAATTCTATAGCCGGAGAAGATGCCTGAATATTTACTAAGTATGGGAAATGGCGCCGAGGAAGTGGCTCCTGACAGCCAGGACCCAGCCTGACACCACTTGTGGGCCTTGGTGTTCCCTACGAACATGAGCCATTCCTCAGCACACTGCCTCGGAGAAGGCCACGGTGGATCGAGGACATACATGAGATCACTCCGTCGTGACTGCCTGAACACAGACACAAGACCATATTCCAAAACACAAAAATGATCAAACGACCCCTTATCCCGGCTAATATCCTGCTGCCTTTCTACCAACTAGAGCACATGTGTCAAACACAAGGCCCGCGGGCCAAATCCGTCCCGCCAGGCCTTGCAATGTGGCCCGCACCGCGCTGTCATCACTGCACTCCGCTGCGTTTCCATCACAATGACAGTTTATGACTGTTCAGTAAACCATTCAGCCCGTGATTTAGGCTGGATTTTAGATTTTGGCCCCTTCTCTGATTGAGTTCGACACCCCTAAACTAGAGTTTCAGCCTGATTGCCTTCTTCCGGCCTCAAAATAACAATGACAGAGGCCCAATCACATCATCAGCCTTGCTTCCCGACAGCATCGGACACGCAGCAAAGCCCACGCCTCTGGACCCTCCCCCAAACCCTTCAAGGCTCCCCAAATCCTCTGGGTGCCCCCGTTTTCCCTCCAGGCATCAAGGACCCAACTTCAACTGCAGGTGTGCTACTGGTGCTGCTGCCAGAAGGAACTGCCGACACAAAACTTCTACAAATACCCTGATACTGAAAAAGAATTGTGTTTTAAATTCTCTATGCCTTTCTATTTTTTTTTTTTTTTTATCCTCACCAGAGGATATTTTCCCCATTGATTTCTAAAGAGAATGGAAGGGAGAAGGGAGAAGGGAGAGGGAGAGAAACATCGGGGGGAGAGAGAGAGACATCCATCCATTGGTTGCTCCCACAAGCATCCCTATCTGGGCTGGGGAAGCTGCATCGGAGGGAAGTGCCCTTCACCGGGAATCGAACCCTCGGCTCTTTGGTCCCTGGGCCAAAGCTCTAACCTCTAAACCAAACAGGTCAGGCCTGCCTTTCTTTCACAGATCCCTCATGAGCTTATAATTTTTAAAACTCAAATGTTAATTTTTCATTGAAACAAGGAACTGATAGGTGGTAACCCGCCTTCAATCGGTCAGAGCAGAGGCAATGGCCGGTCCTTTCAGCCTGTCCCTCCAAAAGGGTGGCCTGGGCTCACCCCCGGGGAGGCTCAGGTCAGAGCTGGCAGAGAGAGAGAATGGCCTCTGGAAACACAAGTGTTTCCTCAAGCGACAGCTTCTACTTCACCCAGTACAAACGTCACAAGGCGGCCCCTTTTCAAAAGCTGGGGCTTGGCTCCCGTGGGGTCTGTGGCCTGATGCCCAACGTCAAAGGAAAGAGGCCGAGGCGGTGCTGACCCCTTCCTTCTAGCTCTCCTCTGCAGTCAGTCCTCAGAGACCAGAGTTACCACCAACTATCCCCCCTGCCCCGAAAAATCTATCATGGGAGGATAGATGTGGCTTATGGGAATAAAGAGTTTCTAAAAACGTCGAAGACTGGGTGGTGGTGGAGGGGGGAGGGCTTACGGTTGTGGGCTTTTAATTGGGGGTGTGGGAGGTGTGAGGAAATTGGTCCACAATGAAAATACTCTTAAAGCACCCTTTTCAGATCTAAACTTGTACAAAAACAACTAGGTTTTTGAGACCCCGGTTTAGCATTCAGTAAGGCGCTTACTATGAAACAGACAAAAAAGACATAAAGCCTACTTTATGTACTTTTGCTCTCCGATACCTTGTAAAAATAATCTGCATACAGCCGGGACCGGTTTGGCTCAGTGGATAGAGCGTCGGCCTGCGGACTGAAGGGTCCCGGGTACGATTCCGGGCAAGGGCATGTACCTGGTTGCGGGCACATCCCCAGTAGGGGGCGTGCAAGAGGCAGCCGATCGATGATTCTCTCTCATCGATGTTTCAAACTCTCTATCCCTCTCTCTTCCTCTCTGTGAATAAATCAATAAAATATATATTTTTTAAAAATAATAATAATCTGCATACAATAAGGCCTATTTTAAGTGTAATTTGATGAGTTTTGGTCAATAGCTGCATCTGTGTGCTCCCCCCCCCCTCCAATCGAGAGAGAACATTTGTGGCTCCAGAGCGCCCCTGCTCCTCCCTCCCAGAAGACAACACCAGTTTCATTTCCACCAGCACACACAGCCACTCACAATCCAAGCGATGCCGGAGGACAGCTGTGGCGATTTCCACTTTGTGGAAATTCGGATACCACGACCCCATGGCTCAGTCACCTCCCGAAGTGAGTTGGTGACGGAGCAAGCGAAGGGCGTGGGCAAGTCCTGCCTGTCCCCGAGCCCAGGGCTTTCTCAGTGGCCATCCTTAGCACGTGGAGAGCTATGACATATAGATCGAAAAAGGAGGATCCCTTCTTTAGAAAACACCAACAGGCTCAGAAAAGATGGGAGGTGACGTGTGCCCGTGGCTTCGGTTTACAAGGCAGACCTGCATTTAAGCCACCAGCCTTGCATTTACCAGCTGTGGGAGCCTGGGTGAGTCACCGAGTTTAGTCTGGTCTGTCAAATGGGGACAACAGCGGCGCCTGCCTCCCAGGGCTGCGAGGGGACGCACAGAGCCCTCAGCACCGTCCCTGGCTCAGAGCGAGCACTCAAACACCAAACACTCAAGCCACGGCTATTTGAAAACGCTCTCGCAGTCTCAAATTCTCTTCTCTTCTGAAACTGGTTCCAGCTCTATTGCTCTATTGACATCCGACTGAATTATAAGAGATAAAAGGCAGAAACCATCCCGATCTAGATAGAGACTCCAGAAAAGACAAAGAAAGCTCCGAGCCCACTCCTCCTCCTCCTCCTCCTCCTCCTCCTCCTCCGAAAGTCAGTCACCTCAACAGGAGAGGCGCTAGGAAGAAAGCCCGAGGCTGAGGACACAAGGCAGGAGACAATAAACCTCTCATAGCAAACCTCCCACAGAGCACTCCCCAGTCATCCTGCTTTTTAACTAGCTTCAAAGGTTGGATTTCATTTTTGATGAGGTTAGGGAGGTGGGACAGGAGAGAGCCAAGTTGGTTACAAGAAGCAGAGAGGTAATTGATACTGGTGGTATTGGTTACTGATTCCATTCAATCAGCAGGGGAGTTTATGCCAGTTAGATGGGTACGTCAAGGCTTCTCTCTTTTCCAGCTCCCCGGAGTATACTGTTGCTGATCCCAAACAGTAGCCCCGCACTTGGTTGCCCATCGGAATCCCCTGGGAACCTTACAATGATACCCATGCCTGGGTCCTACCCGTGGGAAACCTGATGTAACTGGTCTGGAGTTGTGGCCTGGGCTCCAGACATTTTAAAAGTCCCCCAGGTGATTCCAATGTGCAGCCAGGATTGCAAACCACTGTTCTAAAAAGTCCCGTATATCTTAATTAGGCCACAATTAACCTCAGGGAGAAGCGTCCTGGCCTGGGTGAATTGCTGACCATACGTAAAAGTAAACCAAAGCATCATAAACAAAAGCAAGCCCCTACTTCACAGCCTGTGAGTGTGCACAAACAGGAAGCAATTGCATGCATGCTGAACGGGGAGCATGCATGCAAACTGCTGACTTCAAAGGAGGCTCGGTCAAGTACAACAGGGAAAAAGGGCACCAAACCCTCACCTGTACGTTTTCCTAAACTCTCTGTAGACTGGGAAATGTGTATGGAGGTTTGATGGAGAGTTTGATAAACCTGGTCTCATTACTTCCTAGTTCAGACAAGTGATTTAATCGAGCCTCAGTTTCCTAACTTGTAAAATGAAGTTAACACCTCCTTCCCCCCCTCTCCACGAATGAATAGGAAAATTCTTAATGACGCTCAAGCTTTCCTGAAGACTGGAGATCACAGCCCTGGCTGCACTAGAATCACCTAGGAATGCTTCAACCTTTCTCAAGCCCGGGCTTCACCCCAGAACCAGTAATCCAATTTGGGGAGGGGAAAGGAGGAGCGTGGCAGCTCAGAAACCAGAGTTTTAAAAAGCCCTTTAGGTGATTCTAATGTATGGCCAGAGGTGAGAGCCACAAAGCTACCGTGTTTTAACCAGCTAGATCTGAGAGTCACCACACTGATGCTAATTACACAACGTTCTCTGAACTGAGGGCATTTCTACAACTCAGAAAAGCCTGTGGTCCCATTTCAACCAAGCTAAATTCTATCAGCCACATAAGGGTGGCTTATTTTCCACCCCAACCCTACGGGACAGCTACTGCCGAATCACATCTTCTTCCGGCGTCTAGCACACAAACTACTGGCCTATGTCTCTCAAGAGTCTAGGGAGGAACATGTCATCGACCCACCTTTCAGGGGAGAAAATTAAGAATCAGGACTATGAAGGTCCCTCTGACTCCCACTCTCATGCCCAAATCAAAGAAAGCAGTGCTTTAATTCCCTGGAGGGCTTGTTAAATTAGATTGCTGGGCCCCACCCCAGACTGACTCCATTGTCTGTGGTAGGACTTGAAAAGGTGGCCATTTCTAACAGATTCCAGCTGGTGCTGCTCGTCTGGTTTAGTGCCTTCTTCCCCTCAGGTGGCCCTTATTTTACACGAAACGGAGCAGACCGCACTCAGATACACACGTTGACTCATCTTTCCTCAGCCGTGGCCTTAGGATCCATTCATCTTCCCCAAGGACTGCGCTTTCTAGAGAGTCAGGCAAACAAGCAAAAAGAGGGTCTGGGGCTGACCTTTGCTATTCACAGGGCAGACTCTTCAAGGAATCCAAGCACACAGACACTCCCCACAGCTGGGGGACTGCCTGTGAGACATCCCCGACTCCTCAGGTGTGGCTACCTGGGGTCCCAAGGGAATGGATTGCATAGGGACCCAGCCCCAGGGCGCTGGGCGCCCTGCGGGGAAAGGCCCCTGACCGCAGGCCCCTGGCACCCCTCCGCGGAGTTCCTGGCACGGAACGCACACCCTCCCGCCGCCTCCCTCTGTTTATCTCCTCCATTCGACGGGGTGTGTATTCACACGCACCTGGAAGCCCTTGCCCACTTCCCCCGAAACCCAGAGACTCCTCTTGCCACTCCCCCAAAACCAAAACTCTCCGTCCCAAGGAATCAATCCCACTTCGTCGTCTCAGAACTTACCCCTTCTCCCTTCACAACACCCCGGACCCCAACCCTCCGCTCCAAATGTCCGTCTTCAAGGACATCTCTTTGTTCTCTTCACAATCACCAATTCCTTACAAGCGCTCAAGACTCTGAGACATCCCCCTCCCACCCACCCACCCACCCACATATCTACTCCCCGAGCCCAAAGGCCTTCCCCGGATCTCCAAGAGCCCGGGGCCTCCCCAGCCCCCTCACCCCAGCACATTCCCCGCAATGTCCTTCCCGCACGCCCGGCCCGGCCTCGCCCCCATCCTACTCCCCGAGTGCCACTTCCCGGTCGCGACAGCCCCTTTCCCCCTGACCCCCTCCTTCTGCCGGCCCTTTCCTCCTCTCCTCTGGCTCTGCCCGCTCCCCTCGGCCCCTCGGAGGCCCCAAGGCGGTGGGCACCGCCCTCCTTACCATGAAAAGTCGGAGGACGCCGGAGTCTCCAAGCCTGGACTGAAAGAGGCAGGAAACACCCAGCTCGCGTGAGCCAGGGGCGGAGGCGGGGCTGGGGGCGGGAACTTCCGCTGTCCGTGCGTCACTTCCGCCCCGCAGAGGGCGCTTTCTTAAAGGATCCGCTGCACTCCTCTAAGACATGGGCCGCATTCCTTCCAACATGCCTGGCTGGAGTAGGTTGCATCCCTTCTCTGCTGGGTCAGGCATCGATCCAGTTCCCGAATGCTCCACTTTTTTTTTTTTTTCAGCCTCCAGAGAGGAGGAAGAGGTTCAAGGAGGTTGCCGCTCCCGGGTGGAGCAGCTCTCCGGAACTGTCGTTGGGCCGGAACTGGGTAGTTGTTTCCCGACGGAGCTCGGGGAAAGGACACCCCGGGGCAAGATGGTGGTGGAGTCTCGATCGCTGCCCCGGGTTCGGCAGAGCTCAGGGATATTATTGGGCTGAGGCGACAGTAGCTGCGGCTCCGATCCCAAGCGCGGGGGCCTCGAGCGGGTAAAGGTCTACGGCGTGCGAGTAGCGAGTGGAATCAGGATCGTGGGGTCTGGGTGGCGGCGCCGGGGACCTGAAGGGAGGTTAACCCTGGGGCAGGGTAGGGTCCCCGCCTCTCTCGTCGGAGGGGCAGGTGCTAGCGGCTGGCTTGTCTCTTTTCTCTTGTGGGGCCTTTGTCAACGGACTAACGCTGGATGAAAAAAAAAGAGTTGTTATTGTGGTTGATGCCAAGGAAAGATGCCTTAGGAGTCACTGGAACCCGAGTTCGAATCCTGTTTTTCTCGCTGTGTGACCTTGGGTGAGTTCTTCACCTCTCCGGGCCTCAGTCTCCTCCGCTGTGAAATGGCGTGATGAGCTCGTTTCACAGAGGATACTGTATAGGGAAGTTTCAGTGCCGTGCCAGACACCCAGCTGTCAAAAAAGGCAGCTGGAGTTAGTGGTGTCTGTAAAGAAAAGCTTGCTCGAAACTGGACTCTTAGCCTCATGGGCAGCCTTTGATTCTCAGCTTTTCTTTGCTGTTCTGTGAGTCGGGGACTCGATGGTTCTTTGTGTGTTTCATTTACAAATAATTGCTTTGGAGTTGGATCGGAGTTTAAAATTCAGGAGCCTAGCGACCCATGACAAGTTCTGCCCCTTCTCTATATTTCATCTGCTCCCCGTGACAGTGAGATTGAAAACAGCCCGCAGCCTGGAAGTTATGGTCATCAGACCTGGCTGCCCAGCTCCTCCCACCACACAGGCAGAATCCTTCTGGGCGCCGCCAGCAGTTGGTATTTATGGCGCCTCTCCCTTGAACAATAATACTCTTTGGAGTCTGGTGCTCTTCCATAGTTCCCCATGAACTTGGCCTCATCTGGAGAAGACTGATTTTGAGCAGGTCCCACGGGAATACTGAAGTAAAGGAGAGTCTGAGTCTTGTCTCTTATTAAGACAGTGGCTGTGGCCCTTACTGGTGGTCTAACCTGGGCTATAGGGGTGACTACAGATCTCACAGCGGTGCTGTTTTATTAGAGGAGACCACTTAGGAAGGTCTTGGCCCTGGTGGGTGCTCAAGCATCACGTTTTCCTTTTGCTTTTCATGTGATCTTGATGATCACCAACCTCTTGCCTCCTAATCGTCCCACCTATATCGCTGTTGTTTTCCTAACGGGATTGTAAGCTGCTTAAGGACAAAGCAGTAAACTCATGTATGTGCTATTTGTTCCCAGATGCTTTTATTAGTGTTTTCTCATTTAATGCTAATGATAGTGTCATGATGACTAAATTGAGGTATCAGAAGGGTAAATGTTTCGTCTAACTTTTACATAAACCTTTCGGCAACCCTAGGAAGTAGATCTGTTACTATTATCACTCCCAATTTATAGATAAGGAAACTGAGGCCTAAGGAAGGTAAGGAACTTGGCAAATGAGGTAGAATCAGAACTAAAAAGAACCAAGGACTACTTTGTCCGATCCAAAGCTTCTTCTGTTACACACTGCCTTTTCTTTGATTCACAGTGGCATGTGCCAGCGCAAGCCCCTAATAAATGCTTCATAACGTGTTTTTATTGATGAATTATAGTAGACAACATAGATGGAGTAGGTGAATAAGAAAGAACGAGAAAAACTGCTAAGTATAGGCTATCACCTGTTTTAAACAGAAACCAACATGTAACATTGCTGAGGGGATGGTCTCAAGAAGGGGACCTTATCCTGAGCGGCCCCTGGGAGAAGTTTGAGATCCGGCAGGTCCTCAAATAGCGTCGTTTTGTTCAATGTTGTTTCATTATAACATTGATGAGATGCCATAGGAACTTAACTCTTGTTTATATCACTTAGCCTGCGGGAAAATTGCCTTCATTATATGTCATTCTGCCCCACTTCCAATAACCTATAGACGGTGTTAACCAAGGACTTGCTACTGTCCGACAGGCACTTAGTCAGAGTTTGAGTGCAGCCTCCTATTTTCCATTAGGATTAGGCTCCCTCTTCTCCTGCGCCTTCTTCCCCTCCCCACGTATGAGGGACTGTCTACATGTTAAGGAAAGCACATAATCACTATGCTCCTGGCTTGGGCCCAGCTCCTTTGCAGCTCTCAGGAGCTTGAAGCTATTACCCAATCTGAACAGGGCCCGGGGTTCATTGCCCACGTGACCAGACTGGTGAATCTTAGCGTACCCAATCCTGTCTAATGGGTGAAGAATGTAAGGGTCCCAACATTATGTCCCACCCCAAGAACCTTAGTGACAAAAGACTCAAAAACAAAACAAAAAAGCAACAACTTTGTGTCTATAAAAATAATACATTAGCCCTGGCCAGGTGGCTCAGTTGGTTTGGGTATCTATACGCTGAAAGGTTGTATAATAGGTTCATTCTGGGTCAGGTTGGGGGTTTGATCGCTGGTCGGGCGCATGTGGGAGGCAACCAATGATGTTTCTCCCTCTCGCTTCCTCTCTCTTCCGTTTATCCCTCTCTCTCCCTATTCCTTGTTCTCCCTCTCTCTCCCATCTCCCTTCCTCCCTCTCTAAAAATCAATAAACATATCCTTGGGTGAGGATTTAAACATTTTTTTAAATAGTAATAATAATACCTTAGACTTACTGACTGCTCTGTCAGCCACCTCAGTAGGTATTGATGTACATCATCTCATTTAGGCCTCATTGCTTAGCGTCTGAGCTAATCCATGGAGGAAGACAGGCCCTGAGACATCACCCACAGAACATGGCCGAGCGAGGGAGTGCCTCTCGGTACCATGCTGCTTCGCCACGTGCTTTCTGTAGAAAACCTAGAAAACAGACCCAGTAAAGAAGCAAAATTTCCAACAATGCCATGCTCTCAAAACAACCACTCTTATGTAACATTCTGGTCTATTTCCCCCCCCACCCCCCCGTTTTTTCTCTATGTGCATTTTTCTTTATCATGTAACTGGAATGATACTGGTCCACACAATTTCTTAGGCATAAATAGTTTTCAGTGTTGTTAAAAAAACATTAAACATTATTTTCAGTGGCTTTTTAATATTCTGTCCCCTGTGTTATTCTTGCTTATATCACCATGCTTGTAAAGTTTTAATTCACTAACTTCTTTGGGAATATAGTTGACCTTTGAACAACACAGCGGTTGGGGCACTGACACCCCCCCTCCATACAGTTGAAAATCCATGTATGACTTGATTCCCCCAAAACTGAACTACTAAGGGCCTACTAGTCACTGGAAACCTTACTGATGATGTAAACAATCAATTAACACATTTTTATACGTTAACATATAACGTACAGTATTCCTACAATGAAGTAAGCCAGAGGAAAAATGTTAAGAAAATCATAAGAGGAAATACATTTACCGAATTAATTGGAAAAAAATCCATGTATCAGTGGACCCATGCGTTTCAAATCCGTGTTGTTCAAGGACCAACTGTATTTTCAACCAGTTTCCTTTAAATGGTGAGGACTGTGGAGCTAAAGTTGAACATTTATTTTATTTTTATTTTTTAAATATATTTTATTGATTGTTTTTATAGAGAGGAAGGGATAGAGAGCTAGAAACATCGATGAGAGAGAAACATCGACCAGCTACCTCCTGCATACCCCCTACCGGGGATGTGCCCGCAACCAATGTACATGCCCTTGACCGGAATCGAACCCGGGACCCTTCAGTCCGCAGACCGACGCTCTATCCACTGAGCCAAACCGGTTTTAGCTGAAGTTGAACATTTAGACCAGACATTATCTAAAGATGAATGTATTACTTCTACTCTGTAATGTATTACAGAGGCACTGAATGTATTACTTCTACTCGGTGAGGAGGTGTATGATGTCCTACCTATAAAACTTAACCGTAAGTCTGGATTTTTTTCTTCTGCTTCTGCCAGCGAGGACAAGCTCCTCTGAAGTGAGAAGCTGCCCATGGCTGGGAGTCCCCTACGAGATCACTGATGGTGACTCAGCATTTCTGTGACACAGGCAGGTTCTCAGGTGAGCTCCCTGGACTTCCTCTGCTGGGGCCGAAAGAGGGAATGATTTGGAAGCCCTTCTTCTCTCCAGTCTCCTTACTGTCCCTGCTATTGGTTGGGCAGGCTTTGTTCATTTGAATGAAAGGATGAATAAAAATAACAGCGTAAATATTCACGTTTGGATTTTCCCTCAAGTCTTGACTTGGCAAAATAAAAATGGACTGCTTGGTGTTGACTTCCCAAATATTGTGGACTGCTCCAAAAAATTCAAATATCTGGGGACCCTTGACTTAGAGGATGTGTGGCTTGCATTAGAAGTTTACAGATGGGATTGAGTCGTGCTTTGTTCATTCATTAAACAATTACAGAACCCATGCCCTGTGCCAGGCGCTGTGCATTTTCTCTCCAGAAAATGTAATTATTTCATACAGGAAGAAGCACTGCTGCTCTGGCGAGCTGCATGAAAAGAGCCGATGGGAATTGGGATTTGTGCCAGGAGAGCTATTAGCACTTTGGAAGGTGGCGGAAGGCCCTGAGTAGCTAGCTCTCTGCTGCTGCTGCCCACACCCCTGCCCATCCTTTGCTCTTTTTTTTTTTTTTTAATAATATATTTTATTGATATTCTACAGAGAGGAAGGGAGAGAGATAGCCAGAGATGTCAATGAGAGAGAAACATTGACCAGCTGCCTCTTGCACACCCCCTACTGGGGATGTGCCCGCAACCAATGTACATGCCCTTGACCAGAATCAACCCGGGACCCCTCAGTCCGCAGACCGACGCTCTACCACTGAGCCAAACCGGCTTCGGCCATCCTTTGCTCTTGAACCCCTTTCTGTGTGTGTTTCTCAAACGGGGATCTACACCGACGGCTTGCCATTTTCCTTGCAGGGTTTGTGCAAGTTTGCAAACATGTTCACCGTTTCTCAGACCTCGAGAGCCTGGTTCATCGATAAGGCCCGTCAGGCTCGAGAGGAGAGGCTTGTGCAGAAGGAGCGGGAGCGGGCGGCCGTCGGGATCCAGGCCCGCGTGAGGAGTTTCCTGTGTCGGAGGCGACTGCAGAGGGAAATCAGGTGGGTGCCAGGAACTCCTCTTGCTCCCGAGTAAAGCAAGAAAAGAAAGCATTTGTCTCCACCAGTTCAGAAAAAGCCTTCCGGCTGCTGGGAGCTCCTAATGAAAACAGTTTTTTGTTTGTTTGTTTTTTAACCTTCCCTCCCTTAGGAGAGAGATCGATGAGTTTTTTAAAGCCGATGACGCGGGGTCCAGTAGAAGAAGTGCACTTTGTATTTTTAAGATCGCCAGGAAGCTGCTGTTCTTGTTCAGAATGAAAGAGGATAACGAGGTAAAAGAGCAACAGCAAACATACATCGTCCTTTCTGGCTGCAGGGTCTTTTATTATAAATACGAGGGCACCCGTCCTCATGGCAGCTCTCTGCCCCTCCCACATCCTGCCCTTTCGTCCTCCCGGGGCCTGATTTGCAGGGGTTACGCCCAGTGTTTCTGGACCTCCTCACAGCGACTCCTTTTCTCCCTGACTGTTAAGAGCGCTTGTTGGATTCACATGCACACAGGGGCTGGGCAGTTAGGTGAAAGAGTGAAAGAAGCCATTGTTGAGATAAAAGTCATCATACATATTGGTAACTCACAGAGGTGGGGAGGACCTCAGAGGGAGCCAGGGCGTCTGTGGCATGCCCCGCCAGAGGGCACAGTCTCTCCTCTTCGGCCTGTGGTGGACCCTGATTTTTTTTTTTTAAAGAGATGCTGGACTTCTTTATACTCAGTTTTCTCATTTGTAAGCATTGGTAGCTAATTTCAAATTTTTTTAAGATCCTGAAGACCAAACAAAACATACTGGTTGTACCTTTGGGATTAGAATCAGCCCAGAAAATACCATGTCAGAAACCCGTTATCTGTAACAGTACTAACAATACATTGAGGAATGCCTCTGGTGATCCGGGTTACCACTCATTGTTGCTAAGTCTCACCTCGTGGCAGGCCATCTGGTAGGCACTGGGGCTCCAGAGGAAACAAGATGGGCAAGGTCTTGAGCGGGAGGAGCACGCTGGCAATGCGCACGTGTCACGTGGGTCATGGAGGTGAGGACCGGCAGGGGCAGTGGGGCCTCGGATACAGAGGAGGAAGCGGCAGTTCAGGCTGACGGGGCGGCCGCCCGGGACCGCACCACTTTGGAGGATGGGTCCAAGGTTGAGATTGCCCCAGTGTAGTCTGGTTTTCAGCTTCCACTTTGCTTCCTTTTGCATTTCAAGATAAAAAAAAACAAAAAAACGACACGACAGTCTGTGGCCAAAGGCAGTGTCTATGATGCTTACGGAATGGCAGACGGGAGAGCAGGATGTAGGAGACAGCTGCTAGTCCACAGGGGCCCACGCCCAGTGTGCCAGTTGAGTTTGTATTTCAAAAGGAGCATCAAACTGGATTTTTTATGAAACATACCAGTTTCTGAAGAAAATGTAGGGCTCATCGAGTCAGTGGCCCCCCAGTTTGAGAGCCTTTCTTTAGTTTTTTTGATCCTCAGTTCCCACATCTGTAAGACTCGCTATGAGTCTTTGGGCATAACACCTACCCACGCCCACCAAACGTTTGCTTCTTTCCCACTTTTATGAGTTCCAGAAGTTTATGACCCCCATTCTGCCTCTTTGCAGAGATTTGAAAAATTGTGTCGCTGCATCCTGAGCAGCATGGATGCTGAGAACGAACCCAAGGTGAGTGGGATGGGTGTGGGGTTAAAATATCCCTTATTGGCTGCTTATCTGTCCATTGGTTCTCATCACCTTATCTGGCCCTGGCCAGTAGCTAAAACGTGTAATCTGACCCCGGTAACTGCCAATAGCATTTCTCTTTGTCCTGCTGGTAGGTGTGGTATGTGTCCCTGGCTCTTTCCAAGGACCTCACCCTCTTATGGATCAAACAGATCAAGGACATCCTGTGGCATTGCTGTGAGTTTCTTGAGCGGCTCAAGGTAAAATGAAACTCGGTAAATGTATCCTTCCCACCTGGGGCCTGTAGGATGTAGTTTCTAAGCGGAGGCTTGGCGAGGACGTGGGGAGCAGCTGGGCGAGGGTGTGAATGTCAGCAGAGTTCCCAGGGATCCGTTCCCAGCCATCCTGCTCGAGGCATCGGTGAATGGTTCTCACGGCCTTGCCCAGGCAGAGCGCCACAACCCACCTGGCAGGTGAGGGAGGCATTTTGGCACACAGCAGCGTCTTCCTGTTACCTGCTTTGTGCTCCTGCCTTCCACAACAGATTTCTCTTTGAGAAGGGACACTTCTGCTTTGAGAGAAAAAAAAAATTTAAGTTCACGCAGAGAAACACACATTAGGAGAAAAGAACACCAGAGCTAGAGCCAGGAATATCTAAATGTAGTCCTGAATCAGCTGCTGATGCTTCGTGTGGCCTTGAGCAAGTCACTTCCCTTCTCTCATCCTCTGGGGTTTCAACTAGATGGTCTCCAGGGTCCCTTGTGGGGCACATGCTAAGTTTCTGAGCCTAGACAGGAATCGGGCCTTTTCCCCTTGTGAAACCACGTATACCACAGCCAGTATTACAGAGTTATCTGTGTGCTGGGCGCTGCTCTTAGCGCGTCATGTACATGAATTGTTTATTCCTTACAACAGCCATACTATCCCTAGTCAGCAGATGAGCAGTTCGAGGCACCGAAAAGTTAAGAGACTTGCCCACGGTCACAGAGCCAGGAAGTGGTAAAGGCAGAAGTCTGAACCCAGGGTCCCTGGTTTGCTCAGCTGCATTTCCACGCTGTGCTCCAGGGAACGCCGAACGTACACACGCTCCTAATGCACGCAAAGCCCGCAGGCCAGCACTGCTCACCTTGTTTCCCAGGATTCTCAGCGCTCCATTCCGGGAGTCCTTAGGTTCCATAGGCAATCACTCGTGGATCAAAATCCCTGTCATTTAACTCCTGACAGTGGTCATCCCCTAAGAGACAGAGAAAAAGAAGACTTCATTATAACCTGACTCACAAAGTTACAGAACGGTTGCTTCACTGTCTGGGCCTGGGGGGCCGTGTGTCTTAACCACCCTCTTCACTGTTTCCAGCCTGAAATCCTACAAGACTCCAAACTCGTCACACTGTACCTCACGATGCTCGTCACCTTCACAGACACTTCAACCTGGAAAATTCTCCGGGGAAAAGGTCCGTGGGACTCGTTCAAAGTCTGTCCTAAGTAGCAGAGCTCCGGCACCTTCTCTACTTTGTAAGAAGCACTTTTGCCGTCACCAGCCCCAGAGGAGGCACTTGTTAAGCCTTGTCGTTTCATTTGGTGAATTATTCGGCAGCTAGTAATTCTCTTTTGGCCATAAAATGTGCCCTGTAATGCTGCCTCCTTCCCTGAATATTATGCTTAGCTTTATGTTTTTCATACACTCACTTCATCCATCCGTTCAGCAAAGAGCCTACTGTGTGCCATGTGCTGTGCAGGCACTGGAGGTACAGAGGCGGCCACTGGCCTCAGGGCTCACAGAACTGAGGCTGGTGGGGGGACGGGCATTAAAGAGAAGTCACATGCATATCCTCCATCTCGACAATAGTGTGAGAAGTGGCGCTCAGAAGGAAGAGAAATGCGAGTTTAGTGGGGCAGGGACAACCTTGCCCTGCTCTTTCGGGGCTCAGAAGTGACAAGTGAGCTCAGAACTCGGTGGGGGTCCAGAGTCACCAAGTGAAAAGGGACAAAACTCCGAAAGCCAAGGAAACTATGCAGAGAGCCCAGGCAGGAAGGAGGGTTTATTTCAAGGCATTATCCTGGATTCTGGGGAGGATTTAAAATATGGTGAGCCCTGGGCCCTGCCAGGAGCTTGTCTCTCGTTGGATAGGAGGCAGCTACAGGACACAGAAAGTTCTAGGCCCTCAGAGGGAAATGGAAAAAAGCTCTGGAACTCGAGGCTGGGCCCCATCACCTGAGAGGGAACACTTCCGGGAGAGAGAATGGGGATGTGCCGCATCTCTGTGGACTCTAGTCCAGACCCAGGGGGAGCGGGCAGGCAGGCCAGGGAGCATCTCGCTGCCAGTGGCTCTGGCTTGGGCCTGATTTCTGTCCCACCTAAACAGTTCCTCTTGCGGCCAGAGATTTGTTGGGTTTCTTTCCTCAATCTTTTTTCTTTCCTTAGGTGAGAGTCTCCGGCCAGCCATGAACCACATTTGTGCAAATATAATGGGCCATCTCAACCAGCATGGACTGTACTCTGTGCTGCAGGTCTGTGCCCACCCCCTCATGCGTGACCTCCTCCTGGAATTGGTGACCTCACTCTCACACCTGGACTTGGTGTATATGTTTGGTTTGGGCGCATCTGGCGCCCTCCTCGCAGAAATCCTTTGCAGGAAGAGTTTAATGCCGTGTCCTCTCCTGCCTTCCCTGGCCTGGGTCGCTGTGCTTTGTGTAAAGGGGGCGGTGGCCACAGGATCCCTTCAAGGCGCTCTGTCTTCGGCTACCGGTGCAATCCGGTCACTTGAAATTGAAACGGAGGGAGGAGGCCTCAGGCTTGTTCCCTCTGGCTCCTTCTTGGTTGGTGTCCAGAGTTAACTTCCCGGCTCTGTCCTCAAACAGCCTTCTGTCCACACTGCACCTTTTGTGCCAGCCCGGATAGCCAGGAATGGTCAGAAGGCGAACTGGTGTTTAGAATTCCTGAGAAGTAGCCCTGATTCAGCCACGGGCTCTGTCCTGACGTGGCTCCGTTTTCTCCTCACACAGGCGACACTGTCCGTAGGTCCATGCGAATGGGTCCACCCGACACCGTCACTCGGAACTGCACCTGAAATCTAGCCTGTCTTGCAGTTTGAAGTCTGGTCTTTGTATCAGCTGTTAATTTTTTAGACTTTATGATTTAAAAAATTAAACATATCATTTAAAGGTGAAGGGGTGGTATTCATGAACCTCCATCCCATTACTTTTCTTTCCCCTCGTTTTTAAAAAATATTTCAATATAGTTTTTTATCCGAGGCACTCATTTTACTTTTATGCTTTTTTTTTTTCTTTAATACATTTTATTGATTTTTTTACAGAGAGAAAGAGAGAGGGATAGAGGGTGAGAAGCATCGATGAGAGAGAATCATCGATCAGCTGTCTCCTGCACACCCCCTATTGGGGAGGTGCCCGCAACCAATGTACATGCCCTTGACCGGAATCGAACCCGGGACCCTTCAGTCCACAGGCCGACGCTCTAGCCTCTGAGCCACACCGGTTTCAGCTGTGCTTCTTTTGTAATAAACAAATGAATACAGAGTTGGCATCATCCCCCGACCAGTTAAAATGTTTTTTCCAGATTCTCTTAACCCGTGGCCTGGCCAGGCCCCGGCCTTGTCTGTCCAAAGGCACTCTGACTGCGGCCTTTTCTCTGGCGTTGCGGTGAGTAGGAAACGGACTTGCTTCTGAAGGGCCGCACGTTGTTGTAAGGCGTCTACACATTTTAACTGACCCCTCAACCCATTCTCTTACTCCAGCTTAGAGATGAGGAAGCAGAGGCCCAGAGGGTAAGGTGATTGGCCTTGGTCGCACAGCAGCGAGTGGCAGGGCCAAGAATTAGACTCAGGCCAGACGATCCGGAGCCCACACGCATTACTCCTTATTCTTTCAACTTGCTTCACACAGTGGGCACATCTCTGTGCTCTAAAACAATGTATGTTTCTTTAAGTAACGGCACATGGGAACCTTCCCAAACTTGGGGGCTTAAGTACAACAATTATGAGTAAGCTAAAGAAAGATTTTGAGGACATCATGTCAGTAAAACTTCAAAACTGATTTTTCACAGCTGCGTCACATGACTGTCCTGCCACTGACCCAGCCTTCCCTTAGTGGGTGTCCCCATCATGGGAAGCATAATTTCAAGGGGCTTGGGGGAGTTGGTGACCTCTCTGAGTGTGGTGATCTGTCTGTGTCCAGCCCTGTGCTTGCTGCCCAGTTTTCAGACAATCTGCTTCGGCCATTCCTCATCCACATCATGTCCGTGCCAGCTCTTGTGACTCATCTCAGCATAGTGGCCCCTGAGGTAAGTGGGCGCCGAGTTCCCCCATTCCGTATTTTACTTCCTTAGAAATTAGAGTGTAAATTGTTTTCTCTGTTAATTCCCACCTCTTCCCTGATTTTTCTTCTACATCAGCAGCCACTGTTGTTAGTAGCCCAAAGAAAGAGGTTCTCGTCTTTGTTCATCTTCTTGGCGATCAGTAGCATGTTTGGCTCCTGGGGGGTGACCTGCAGGGGTCAAGTTCATGCTCCCGTGGGAACTTCTTCATCAGCTTCCCCTCTGACAGTCTGTAATTGTTCGCAGCGCCTCACTGTGGTAGAATCTCATGACATGCTTCGTAAGTTCATCACCTATTTGAGAGCTCAAGATCGATGCCGCGATGTCTGCGAGTGCTTAGAAGGATGCCATACACTGTGTCTAATGGGTGAGTAGCTGAGGCGGGATGTGATTGTGTCCCGGGCATCGGGAAAACGCCACGTGGTTTGCTTTTCACCTTTCTGGAGATGAAGAGCTGTCTTTATTAACAATTAGAAGCGTTCACAATAGAAAACATGTAACCAGATAGACAGTTAAACTAGACATGCAAAATTGGGAAATAGATCCAAGTTGGCAGACTGGTTGAGTGAGTCTAAGTGAATGTTAAATTTTAGCCCTAGCTTCCTGGCAGCCAGGGGGAAAAGGAAAACGTGATGAGAGGCCTGGATAATTCTCACGTTGGGAAAAGGGAGGGTACAGTTGGGTTGGGCTTAGATTAGAGTAAGGCCTGCATCATCTGTTTTACTGTTCTCACTGTAAATGAAAGGGTTTGTGGACAGAAGCATTTGAAAACTGTAGACGTACATAATCCTCAGTGCCTAACATAGAAAAAGGTTCTTAAGGCCAAATTTTAGGGGAGTCCTCACACAAGGCTATTAAATAAGTGGTTAACTTTGAGTAACAGTGACTTCCCCAGAAATTCAGATATTCTTCAAATAAGTCATTTCTTACATTACCTTTGTTTTTAAAATCTTAGCATATTAGTAAAACATCATACTAGCTAATGCACATCCCCGTGTGCCAGGCATTCTACATGTCAGTCCATACAGTCCTCACATCAAGAGGAAGGTCGTATTCCAGACTTACAGATGAGGAGACAGGATGGGAGAGGAGGGGCGAGGGTCACACCTGGGGCAGAGCCAGGATGGGAACCCAGGCCGGCCTAGGTCTCAGCCCTGACAAGTGCCCTCCCCGTGGAATTCTTCCTGCTCAGAGATAGGGGTGCCTGAGCCCCAGGCAGAGAGCGGACCTCGAGGTGAGGAAGCGTGTCTGTCTGGGCCCCTCTCCCTCAGCCTTCTCTCTTTGCAGGCAACCTCCTGCACCTGGGCTGCCTGAGCCCCCGCGTGCTGGAGGAGGAGACGGATGGGTTTGTGAGTTTGCTCACGCAGATGCTGTGCTACTGTCAGAAGTACGTGACCCAGAAGAAATCCAACCTGACCCACTGGCACCCCGTCCTTGGCTGGTTCTCCCAGTCTGTGGACTACGGGTGAGTCCCGGGCAAAGCCCAGTCCCTCCTGCCTCCCCTCCCCCTCCCCCCCCCCCTCCTTTCTTCATTGTAGCTTGTGTTCTTTGTTTCCTATTGTAAACGTCACATGTAGTCATTGTGTAAGTACAGGTAAGAACATAAGAGAATAAAAATCGTCTCCTAAGACAACCTGTGTGCACTTCCGTTCAGTCTACATCCTACCAGTTTTTTCACAAAGATGGGATCGTACTAATGTGTATTTTGTTCTTTTCACTTAGTAAATTATAAGCAATATCTATTAATATTCACTTTCCTTCTTCAGTGTCATTTTATTGATTGCCTAGATTGCCATATTTTGGGGAAACTAAAATAAGGAACATGATTCAAAGGGAATAGAAGTCACTCCACATATTTTTCAGGAGGTGGAATATAAATGTTAATGTTTTTAAACAAGAACTCAAAAATATTGTCTTAAAAACATCTCTAGAAGGTAGAGGTGAAGTAAGGGCTGAAATGAAGTGGGTCTCGGGACCTAAGGCGCATGCTGCTCAGCTGTTTTCCTTCCCATGTCTGCCCGGGGCCTGGGGTTCCTGCCGGGGGCTCGAGGCAGGAAACTGAGGGCCAGGGAAGGACATCCCTGATTTTCTCCCTTTTCCTTGTGCCTGAGTGGCATCCAGTTAAAAAGACTATTTACCAACTGCCGCCCAGAGCGCTGCCCCAGACCGAAGAGGAGGGAGGGGCCTGTGTGGTGGGCATCGGGATGTGTGGGCAGAGGGTGGGGCGGTAAACAGCCTGGGCTCAGCTGCACCCGTTCTCTGGGGGCACCTTGGACTGTCACTGCACCTCACTTTTCTCATCTGCAGTATGGGGTACAGTGTCTCAAAGGGTTGAAGGACATAAAGTGCGTCGGAGCCTCCCGCAGGCCTGGCCTGTGCTCGGTAGGTGGAGGCCGTTACCACTGTGACGCTGGGAGGCATGGAGGATCTGGTGCAGGGAGATGACGAAGGCGGTTTCAGGGTGTGAGTGAGGCTGGGGTGCAGTGCCGAGTGGAGAAGGGAGCAGTGGAAGGCAGGGAGACTCTCAGGAGGCTGGAGGGTTAGCGGGGCCGGGGCCAGGCCTGCAGCTGGCAGCGAGCAGGACAAGACGGCCGGCGTGAGATGGCTGGTCCACTGAGAGGTAAACAGGATGGAATCCGGGTGAAGGCAGATAAAGGGCGTCTGACGTGGAGCGTGGGGACCGAGGGAGAGCAGCAGTGCTGCTGGCAGCACAGGAAGTCTGGGTGGAGCGACGGGGAAGATAAAGGGCAGTGCCTTCCCCATCCGGCCTCAGCAGCAATTTGTGGGTCCCCCTTTCTAACATATCTTATTGGCCGTGCTGAGTGGCAGGTCCTGCCACACTCCTAGTGCAAGGCCCCTTGGGGAACCATGGGGGCTCTCCCTGGCCCTCTGCCGGGTGGACCCGACACCCTGGTCTCCTTCTCTCCCAGCCTCAACGAGTCAATGCCCTTGGTCACCAAGCAGCTGCAGTTCCTGTGGGGGGTGCCTCTGATCCGGATCTTCTTCAGCGACATCCTGAGCAAGAAGCTGCTGGAGAACCAGGAGCCGGCGGCCCACGCGCAGCCGGCCTCCCCGCCGAACGTGCTGCCCGTGAAGAGTGAGTGGCTGGAGCGGGCCCGGCCGTGGCTGCAAGGGGCTGGGGTGCAGCTCTGAGTGTCCCGGGGCCCCTGCCCGCTCTTCCTGTGACCCCGAACCTCTCCCACTGACCTTGAAGCTGCTTAAATCACTTTACATTTAGCACAACAGTGACAGCAAGTCCTTAGGGATAGAAAAGGGTGAACAAAATCAAGGTCGTGCACAGAGAATGTCCACTGATAAAGGATTCCTGGTTTTCTCGGCACTTCCATTTGGCTCTGAATTTCTAGTCGCCAAAATGAAGAGGGACTTGGGACCCTTTCTTCTCATAGATACGAGGGCCTGTTTGTTAGGGGAAGTAGAGCTTTTCTGAGTTCGTAATTGTAAAGGAAAGCTCCCACGTGGGCGGCTGATGAAGGGGCCACTGGGTCGCTGACTGGCTTCCGGCTCAGCAGTGTCCCCCCTGCAGGGTCAGCAGTGGCCCTGTTGGAAGGTTTCTGTGGCTCACTCTGATGAGTGGGAGGAACTGCCGCCAACACTCACTTCAGTGGAATGACCTGCCTGGTTTCCAGTGCGGGCGGCTTTTCCTCTGCCAGCCGGTGTGCTGCAAAGCCCCATCTTGCACCTGTCAGTGGGCATGGGCTTGGCAAATACAGCTTCCGCAGGATATTTGTGAGAAGCGTCAAAACAAGAGTACAGTGCAGCCAAGACCGGTTTGGCTCAGTGGATAGAGCGTCGGCCTGCGGACCAAAGGGTCCCGGGTTCGATTCCGGTCCAGGGCATGTACCTTGGTTGCAGGCACATCCCCAGTGGGGGGTGTGCAAGAGGCAGCTGATCGATGATTCTCTTTCATCGATGTTTCTCTCTATCCCTCTCTCTTCCTCTCTGTAAAAAATCAATAAAATATATTAAAAAAAAAAAAAAAAGTGCAGTGCAGCCCTGAGCTGAATACCCATACGTGAGGCTGACGCCCCTTCTTCCGTCTCAAAGCACAGGAAGTTGGGGACCCACCAGGCCTCCCTCTCCCCTAACACAGTCCCGGGAATTTTTCCTTTGTGGGTGCTGAAGTTAATGGTTCAGTAACAGGATCCCTTGGAAGAATGGGATTTCCTGATTCGGAAGATGTCTTTGGGTTTTACCTAAAATCCTCTTGTTAACGTGCTTCCGGTTTATCCCAAGGAGATGGCTGGAATCAGGCGGCAGCCCCATGTCTGGCTGTGGCTGTAAAGTCGGAGCTTCACTGGAATGCTCTTCCCTGCAGGGTGGAACTTGGCAGATGCTGAACTTGGAACTTCCGCTCACTCGTTCCTCTCTCTCCGTGCCAGATCTCCTGAAGCGCGCGTTTCAGAAGTCGGCGTCGGTGCGGAACATCCTCAAGCCCGTCGGGGGCAAACGCGTGGACTCGGCGGAGGTGCAGAAGGTTTGCAACATCTGCGTCCTCTACCAGACCTCGCTGACCACTCTGACCCAGATCCGGCTGCAGATCCTCACAGGTGTGCAGGCCCCGGGCCTCTTGTGGCTCACATCTGGCTGACAGTTTTGCTCGGAACACTGGATGGACATGCCCACCATTGTCCTTTCTAGCTAAGCAAGGAGGAAAGTCCCTCTGTGAGTCAGAGTTGGGCGTCAGGGGCTTTAAGTGGCAGTGCAGGAGCTGGGATGAGCTGGTGTCATGAGGACAGAGGTCTGTAAGCCATGAAGCTGTTGACCACATGAAGGATTTGAACTTCTCTGCTGCATTTTACTTTTGTTTTAAATCATAAATTCTTGCTGCTTCTCCCTTTCACACTTATTTCTTCATCTTCACATGCTCACAGAGCCAGGGTGTCTGTCCCCAAGGGGGCTATATCCTAGTGGGGAGACCAGGCGTAAGATGGGCTGTATGCACTGTCATGAAGGCCTGGAGCAGTGGAGTAGTGGATGACAATGCAGGCTTGGCCTGGAGGAGGGCTGACGGTTTGGCCATGATTCTTTGTTGTGGAAGCCATCCCGTCCATTGTAGGGTTTCAGCATCCTCTGGCCCCTACCCATAAGAGCCAATAGCAATCTCTCCTTCCTCCTGGTTGTGACACCCATACCTATCTCCAAACATTGCCAGGTGCCCCCTGAGGACAGCGGAACTGGGGTAGCGATGGAGACGGAAGCAGGAGGATGTGTGATGTTTCAGAGACGGGTTGGACTTGAGGGAGTGAGGCCTAACAGTTTCAAAGATGATGCCAGGCTTTTAGCCAAGTGACAGCGTGGGTGGTGCAGTCTGCCGAGCAGGGGATGACCAGCTGGGGGCTTGGAAAGTTCTGCCATCAGGAGGTTAAGATGTCCTCTGCTTCCCCTGGCCATTGTTCTTAGCGGTTAGAATGTCAGTCCAAACACAAAAGGGTCGCAGGTTCAATTCCTGGTCAAGGGCACATAGCTGGAATGCAGGTTCCATCCCATGCGTGCGAGATAGATTCAATTAGGTATCGATAAACTACTGCCTGTGGGCCACTGCCAACCCACTACTTGCTTTTATAAATAAAGTTTTATTGGAACAAAGCTACAATACATCCAGATTGTCTAACAGCCGCTTTTCTGCACTGAGTAGTTGTGACAGTGATCGGCCTACAGAGCCTAAAAACACCGACTCTGGCCCTTCCCAGAAAGAAATTTGCTGATCTCTGATTTAAAACACACACTCGGGGTCAGACAGACCTGGTTTTGCTCTTGGCTCTGACACTTCCCGGCTGTATGGTTTTGAACCACTTAACCTCTCTGGCCTTCACTTTAGATAACAGTGAGTTTCACACTGGAAAGGAGATCATGCATGTAAAGTACTTGGAACAGTGTCTGGCACATAGTAAGCACCCATTCCACGTTAGCTCTTATTAGTCTCATGGTGACAGTGATTTTCTTGGTAATTGCATTTTCTCTCTCGCACACTGCATGCTCACTTGTCTCCCTGGTGGGAAGGGAAATCACGGACCAGCCGGAGCCCCACATGAAGCTTGGGTTTCTCTATCCTTTTCCAGGTCTCACTTACCTGGATGACCTGCTGCCCAAACTGTGGGCGTTTATCTGTGAGCTGGGGCCCCACGGAGGGTTAAAGCTCTTCTTGGAGTGCCTCAGCAATGACACTGAAGAGTCCAAGCAGCTCTTGGCCATGCTGATGCTGTTCTGTGACTGCTCCCGGCACCTCATCACGTAGGTTGACTGCTGCGGGCCTGAGCTCCTTCCCTAGAATGCAGTGGCAGGAAAGAAGTGGTTACTGACGTGATTCCTGCTAAGGTTTGGGCCCTGCGTGGCAGGGTCCACTGCTTGCTTTTGTAAATGGCATTTTAGAAGCATTAGATGAGGAAACATTTACAGCGTGGGTGGCACATAGTAGGGCTTCAGCAATTGTTAGTTCCCATCCTTTCAGGGAGGTGGGTCAGCACCCCTGAACATGCGCTTTGGGGTTTCTTGGCTCTGGGTCTAAGTAACTTTGGCCATTGACTCACTGTGCTAGTTAGTCTGCTGGGAACTTGCAGAGCCAGGGAGTCAGGGTGCAAAGCTTGGCTTCACCACTTACTGAGGTGCCCTGGGCAATGGGGATAACATTACCACGTGATAGGGAGTGAGAAAAGGAATGTCAGGTACTTAGCACAGTGCCTGGCACAGAATGAGACATTAACAAATGCTAGTCCCATTTAGTTCCTTTGTTCTTTAAGCTTAGGTGTCTACTCTTGTATTTGGTGTTCTTTTAATTCCACTTTTCCCCCCAAAAGGCTGGTGAAAAATTATAAGATAGAATGGACCATAGGCAGTTACGTTCAGGCTAGAAGCATTGGCAGGAGGCATCAGGGGCTTGGAGGTGGCAGGTTGGCTAAGAATCGTGGAGGGAAGGGCTCAGTGAGAGGTTGGAGGCAAGAGCAGGGACTGTAGCTGCTGGTGCAGACCCTGACCTGCTGGGTCACGGCTGACCCAAGAGTGACTCCTATTCTAGAGGGAATGGAGCCGTTTTAGGATATTTTCAGATAGAGCTGAAATACAGAGCAGGAGGGGAATGGTATTTTTAACTTTTTACTGGGGACACTTTCAAGTCAACAGGAAGTAGAGAGAATATCGTACAATGACCTCTCATGCACCCATCACCAGCCTCAACAGTTAACTCATTGCCAGTCTTGCTTCATCTGTATGCCCACCCGCTCTCCTCTCCCTCATTGTTTTGTACCATATTCTAGACATTTACTACTTTATCTGTAAATTTTACAGGAAGTGGCTCTAAAAGATAGAACTTATTTCATTACCTTATTTTGTCCTAAGTACAGGTTTAGTGTTTGTTTGTTTTTTGCCTTTCCTTGGTGGATAATTGTGAATAACTTTCTGTCTGATTTAGGATCCTTGATGACATTGAAGTTTATGAAGAACAAATTTCATTCAAACTGGAAGAGCTGGTTACCATCTCCTCCTTTCTGAATTCCTTTGTGTTTAAGATGATCTGGGATGGAATCGTAGGTAAGGTAAAGGTGGTGGCCACTGTTTGTTGATGCTACAGGCAGGGAGGTCAGTCAGTAACACGGATGTTCTTAGCCTTATCTGTCAACGTTAACGGAAAATGCATATTTCTTCACCTAATTAGAAGTTTCCTTCTTTCACTCTCTATCTGTGACCTCTGAAGACAGTGGTGAGGTTAAGGAAGTCTTGTTTTCCCACGTTTTTCAAGATTTGCTTGTATCGGGAATTATTAGTGACGATTAATTTTGCCCCACATCTCCTTTTGATTCTGTGTGTTGATTTTATCTTTGAGAAGATAAATGTGTGCCAGCTAACACCTCCGGTTAAAGATGCACCTCGTGATGTGTTTCCAGTGGTTCAGAACGAAGCTCCTTAGATTAATAGGGTCCTTAGATTATGTGCTAGTGGGAGGCACATGACTGATTGTGCCTAAGAGCTACTCAGCCCGTAGACACTTCGAACACACACCCAGGTGCCTTTCAGCTGTGTGCCATGCAGGACTCCCAGTGAGGGGGAGGAAGGCCGCGGTGGGACCTGATGACCAGAGCTGTCCTTTCAGTTCGTCTCCGTTCTGATCAGCTTCGCGAGGGTGCCCCCTGCTTGTGTGCCCACAGAGAACGCCAAGGGCGAGACCCTGGAGCTGTTCCAGTCCGTCCACGGGTGGCTGATGGTGCTGTACGAGCGGGACTGTCGGCGCCGCTTCGCCCCCGACGACCACTGGCTGCGGAAGTGAGCGCCCGGGGTGGGGGGGCGGTTTATGGACGCTGCGCTCATGTCCCAGGGCAGGGGGAACTCGTCCCTTTCCTCCAACTTTCACCCGCATAAGGAGACCCGTTCTTCCTGCACCTGTCGGGGCGGACCACCTGGCAGTCACTTCTGTTAAAATGTGTGTCCCCTGAGGATGGTTCGAGCTCATTATAGCAGCAGAGCCCGGTCACATTTAGCAAGTGTTTCGTATCCAAACTGGGATAAGAAAAATGTTCAGCTGAACTGAGCTACAGGTAATGCTAGGCAAACGGCAGTTTTTAACAATCAGAATGAGAGGATAAAAACTACAGCTAGGTGTTTTGGGGGTTGGGGTTGTGGAATCCTCTTGCAACAACTAAACATAAGGTCGTGTCCACATTAACTTATCAATGACATGCCAACTCCTGTGTAAATGGCACTAGAGCGGGACTGGGCAGCTGTTTCCATAAAGGGCCTGACAGTGACTATTCTGGACTCTGCAGACCAGTCTCTGTGGCACGGAAACAGCCAGAGACAACACGTAATGAGTGTGTGGTGTGTCCCATAAAACTTGACAAAAACAGGCGGCAGGCTGCATATGGCCCGCAGGGTGTAGTTTGCCAAGAATGGTGGATGTTTTGTTTTCATTACCCCAAGCCCTTGTCTTTCTTTTTAAGGGATCTCAAACCTAGTGTGCTCTTCCAAGAACTGGACAAGGACAGGAAGCGGGCCCAGATGGTCCTGCAGTACATCCCTCACGTCATTCCTCACAAAAACGTGAGTCGCTCTCAGAGCTGGGCCCTGTGCGTCTCTCTCTTCCACCACGTGGCTCCTGGTCTTCCGTATCTGTTGCCCAGTTGGAAATAAATAAATGCGCTCACTCATTCAGCAGGGCAAACGGTGACTGGATCTTACTCTGTCGGGCATGAAGCTAAATGCTAGGGGTACAGGACTGAAGGCACTATGAGCTGGCCGTCCTGTACAGTGGGGTGTGTGCCACAGGGTTGGATGCTGGGGGAGCCCAGAAAGGGGTTGGGAGCACAGGCAGAAGTGGGCAGTGTTTTAAAGGACTCGAGTGAGAGAATGCAGTGCTGCTGGAGAGCCAGACCGACAGTCTGTCTGGAGAGAACGAAGGAGGGAGGGAAGAAGCTATATTTCTAATTCCAAGAGTGTTTTGAGGAAGGTTTCCTGTTCCCTCAACTCACTGTTAACTTACGGAAGCATCCTACTGCAGTTGGGTCTCAAATGACGTAAAAGCCATGGATCTCGTACAGTGTGTTTTAGGGAATCATCAGCCATTGACCTCTCTCTGGTCTCACCGTTGCTTTTTTCAGAGAGTTCTCCTGTTCCGAAACATGGTCACCAAGGAGAAGGAGAAGCTGGGGCTTGTGGAGACCAGCTCCGCCTCCCCTCATGTCACCCACATCACTATCCGACGGTCCCGGATGTTGGAGGTGAGCAGCCCACAAGCAGTATGCTCGGTGGAGGGCAGGCGTGTCAGCAGGTGAACCTGTTGCCTCTGAACTGTTCTTGTCGCTCCTTCATCTAATGACACTGGAATCGAGGCCCTGGGAGCCAGAAAGGGGCCACTGGTCCTGCTTCCTGCTCTGAGAGCTTCCCACAGGGAGGAGAGCCTTAGGGGGAGCCCTGAGTGTGCAGCGGGCCTTGGGTCCTAATGGGCTGCACTTCTGCCCTCGGCAGGATGGCTACGAGCAGCTGCGGCAGCTGTCCCAGCACGCCATGAAGGGCGTGATTCGCGTGAAGTTTGTCAACGACCTCGGGGTGGACGAGGCAGGGATTGATCAAGACGGAGTTTTCAAGGAGTTCTTGGAAGAGATCATCAAGAGGGTGTTTGACCCGGCACTCAACCTGTTCAAGGTATTCCAGGGGAGGGAGCGGGGCTGCCAGACACCACACGGAGGCACCATGAGACGCGAAGGGCTGGGCAACTTGACACAGGCCTCACCTCCCTGCCTCTGTCTGCCTGTTTCCTCGCAGACAACCAGTGGGGACGAGAGGCTCTACCCTTCGCCCACTTCTTACATCCACGAGAACTACCTGCAACTCTTTGAGTTCGTGGGCAAGATGCTGGGGAAGGCTGTGTATGAGGTAGGCGCGTGAAGGAGCATCGGACTGGAGAGGAAGACGAAACGTGGGAAGTCCCATGGCTTTGTATGCATTTGTGATCAGACCTAGCCGGGCCAACTACCTGTCATTGGGATAAAGTCAGGAAGGAAGGACAGGAACCCAATTGCTGTACAGAGACACTGTACTCCTGTGCTGCTCGTTGAATCCTCAGCATCCCCGTGGCATGGCCGCCGCTGTCCTGTTTGTGTAAGGACGGGAGAACCGAGGCTCCAGGAGGCGCTTGTCCAGAGTCTCATCGTTCATTGAGGGGCAGAATGCAGATGTGAACCCAGGCCACCCTGAGTCCTAAACCTGCCCTTCGCTTCGCTGAAGGGTGAGGGGTGGTGTGATGACCTCCCCGATTTCCAGGGCCTCGCCTCTGTCTCCTCCCTCTCCAGCAACAATAATAGTGCAGATGGAAGAAATGGGGGCACGGGGCCTGCTGTTTGCCCTGCTCTGCCTCCGGCAGGAGCGTGTCCTCTGAGCTCCCACAGCCTGCTCCCCAAGTTTCACAGCAGGCAGGCTGCGCTGTCACCCGTTTGCAGGGGGGGAATTGAGGCTCCGTGGCGTGGCAACAGCAGAGCTGGGTTTGACCCCTGAGCAGTGTGGCTCCAAAGCCCATGGCCATAACCACCATGCTGAGACGTCCCCACGGGGACTTACTGGGTTTGTGAAGTGAGGGGGAGGTAGCGTCCAGGTTGGAGGTTCCGGAAGTGCCTGGAGACGCTCCTGGTGCCTCTGGGCCTGAGCGGCCCCTGATGGGGTGATTGGGGCAGACTCTGGACAGACTGCGGTGGCGAGCTTGTCTCCTCCCGCAGGGGATCGTGGTGGACGTGCCCTTCGCATCCTTCTTCCTGAGCCAGCTGCTCGGGCACCACCACAGTGTCTTCTACAGCTCCGTGGACGAGCTGCCTTCCCTGGACTCCGAGTTCTACAAAAACCTCACCTCCATTAAGGTCAGTGTGGACAGGCGGGGCTTGGCTGAACCCCGCAGGGTGGGTGTGGTGGATGAGGTTCCTGCCCGTCGTGCCTCGGGACCCTGCCTCTCAGGGCCTCCTTCCTCGAGGGGGTGCGCGGTTGTCTCCTTTGCTTCCCGCTGCTCAGTGGCCACAGCAGTCGATGCCTAAGCAGACCTCGTAGGAGAGTCATTTCTTCAAAGCAGAGCCCTGCTGGGTTCCAACTTTTTCCCTTCCCTGTCGTCTTAGCGCTATGATGGGGACATCTCCGACCTGGGCCTGACGCTGTCGTACGATGAAGACGTCATGGGTCAGGTAGGTCAGCTTCTGGGGCTGGAGTCTTCTTTCTGTCCCTCTGGGCTTCCTGAGGCCTGCCCTGCCCTTGGTGCTTTTCCCAACGGTCCCCAGTGTCTGTCTGTCCGGCTGCTCTTTCCTCTGGCTCCCGTGCCAGTTCTCCTGTCCCACCTTGCAGGGGGATTTCTTTAGGTGACCCACTGAAGTTCTTGACGTTGAGGAGAGCAGTTGATTCTGTAGTTTCCAAATCTTTCATCAGATTTTGAGGCTACTTCCTGACAGTCTTAATTTTCTCTCCTGACTATAAAAATAATGCAGACCCCTAACCAAACATCAGCTAGAATGTGAGCATACGGTGAAAATGAAATCCGCCTGGAGTGGCAGAGCCCGGAGAGTGCCACTGGCAATGTGGCTGGCCTTCCAGATCTTTCTCCCTGGCACCCACATCATTTTTTTTTTTTATTTTTTTTTTATAACCTTTGGTATTAATCATGTAGGGTCTGCTTGCTGATGTGTAAGCCCAGGCTTTTTGGGGAAATGGTTGTTCCAAAACATGTCTCATCTTAATTCTGTCGTTCCGGTCGTGGGTGTCAGCCCTTTTGTCTGCAGGAAGCTTTCTCCCCATTAAAATCCTCTCGAGTGATTGTTCCCCCTCTTCCCTCCTAGCTCGTTTGCCATGAACTGATTCCCGGAGGGAAGACCATTCCTGTTACAAATGAAAATAAGTGAGTATCGCAATTCGATTTTTAAGGTCATCACTTGAGAAGACTTCATCCTGGCTCTCCGGGCTTACTTTGAGAATTTATTAAGATACATTGAAGTAGGAAAGCCATAAGTATTATAATGGAACTTATAATGGTTGCAGTTTCTAGACCAAAACTGGTTTATTCGATGTGCAAAATAAGAATTGACACTTGATTATTTGCAGTAGCACTTCTGAGGCCAGAGGCAGTGTTCCTAGGACTTTAATGATGGTCCTCAGTGCAGACAGATGGATTCTGGGACCTTCGGGCACACAGTCCGGAATGCAGAGGGCACCGAGGCAGAAGGCACCTGGAGGGGCAGATCGTGTAGGGATGATAGCGCATGGTGGTGGTAGAAAGCCCGGTCTTGAGAACACAGCAGCGAGTTCAGATGCTGCAGATACACCTTAGGTATGGGGAGCTTCTGAGGCTCGGCAGCTGTTGTCACAGAGAACAGGCTTTCAGGAATCTGTCACAAATGTCAACAACCTCTTTGGTCCCTAGAAGCCAGACTCCTCAATGCACTGTCTCCACCCGGCCTATTATCACCAAATTATAACAGTAGAACCTGGCATGAAGGGTATCTATACTAGTAGGCCTGTCAATCTGTCCGTCTTCTCTTGCCACTGGACTCTGCTGAGCATCTGAATATTAATCTGAGTGTCACTCTCCTCAGTGACATGTGAGAGCTCGATCCTAATTGGATCAGATGCACGTTCCAGCCCAGCATCGCGTCTCTGGTTGGGATGGCTCGGTCAGCCTCATGCTTGGGAGCTTTCATTCAGCCCAGACCCAGTTCTCGTCAGTTTGAGATGCACCAGTTTGATTTGCCTCTGGGCGTTAGTTTGACAGCTGAGGAAGAACAGAGCCTGGGACTGCCTGGAGCCCCTGTGTTCCCTCTCACCATCCCTGCAGAGGGCTCTCCAGGAGAAAGCGTGTGCAAAAGGCCTTCCAGGGTGTCCTTTCCCGCGCTCTTCCACGTTCTCAGTGTAAAGCTCAGGGTGAGAGCAATTCAGTGCTGCAGGCTACCTCTCCTGCGAGGCCTGGCGGTGCCCTTTTCTCCTCCTTCAGGGGGTGCTGGGTCCTGCACTTCTGAGGTGTGAAATGGGAGAGTCCCTCTCTTCCTTTGGTGAAATGGGACAGAACTAGTAACCGGCTTCCAAGAGTCAAGGAAAAGGAGTCACAGTAGTAGAAAAGGTCATCTTGAAGTGTACTGATGTGCAAGTTTGTCGCTGGATAATTTTTAAAATGGGCTGTTTCAAGGCCAGGCACTCAGATCTGAGTGCTGCGGGAACACATTTGGACTGGACTGATTGGAATTTTGAGATTTATGCGTGGGCTGGGCTCGAGGTCTTTCAACTCTGAGTGCATGCTCGCTTAAAAAATCAGCAAGCTAGCAACCCTGTTGGGTTATATTTAACCTGTTCAGTTGTAGTACATTTTATGTTGTACATGCGGCCATTGTGTTCATAAAAGCAGACCCAGGAGACCATCTGCTGGAACCGTGGTTAGTGTTTTGACGTCCTAGTTGAAACTGAACGTGAGCCAGCTGCATCTGACCAGAACTTTCTGAGGCCTCGCCTTTGCACAGCCTCCCTCTTGGTGCAGATGAGCAAGGTTTTAGTAGAAGTTTCTGCATGAAGCAGTTTTTCTCTGCTTTAAAGCTTATAGGAGGACTGCATTACATCTTAATTGGTGTATGCCCAAAAGGAAGAAATTAAATACAAGACTGGAAAAATACCCTTTGTACCAAGAAGGCCCTCTCCTTACCTGGAGAATGTCATGCTTTGAGTCTTGACACATTGGGGTGTTATCCTGACGAATGGCCCACTGTTTTGTGCGGTTCTTTTTGGCGAAGTGATGAGGTAATGCCCTGGGCACGCAGTGTACTGTTCAGGAGAGCCGTCATCGTCATCTGGTGGTTATGGTGAAATGTCGTGGTCCTATTTGTGTTTCTGTAAGATGAAACAGAAATGACCTAACTCATCTTCCAGCCCATTGGGAACAGCCCACTCTGTCCTGTTAATTCCCATTGTTTTCTTTTGTCGGCAACAGAATCAGCTACATCCACCTGATGGCACACTTTCGAATGCACACTCAAATCAAAAACCAGACGGCTGCCCTCATCAGCGGATTCCGTTCTATCATCAAACCCGAGTGGATCCGGATGTTCTCAGCCCCCGAGCTCCAGCGACTCATCTCCGGTGACAACGCCGAGATTGACCTGGAGGATTTGAAGTAAGGAGGGAGCGAGCTGGCAAGGGCGAGGATCTTAGGCCTGGAAAGCAGGCGGCTCCCTCACGGGGTCCTCTTTGGAGTTATTTCAGGGCCCATCTCCACTGCTCTCCTCCCCGCTCATGGGGTGAACTGGTTGGAATAAGAACCCAACCACTTGTGGCCGAGACCGGTTTGGCTAAGTGGATGGAGTGTTGACCTGCAGACTGAAAGGTCCCGGGTTCGATTCCGGTCAAGGGCATGTACCTTGGTTGCGGGCACATCCTTAGTAGGGGTGGTACGAGAAGCAGCTGATCAATGATTCTCTCTCATTGATGTTTCTAACTCTCTATCCCTCTCTCTTCCTCTAAAAAATCAATAAAATATATTTAAAAAAAAAAAAAAAGAAAAAGAACCCAACCACTTGTGTGCCTAGAAACCGAAGCGAAGCAGACCTTGAGGACCGCTGGGCTCTCTGAGGTCCTCGGGACTAGTGGCAGGGCCTCCCGCTGGCTTCTGCTCCGGAGCGGCCAGCTCCTGAACTCTCGGCCCCGTTGGCTTCCAGGGACATGGGGTCATTAAGGCATGAACTCTGGCCTTCAGAGAATTAGGTAGTGAGTAGTACGTGTCTAAATGCCATGCTTACCTGTGCCTGTGCGACTGAGCTGTGTCTGCATTGTTTTCAGGAAGCACACAGTGTACTACGGTGGTTTTCATGGAAGCCACAGGGTCATAATCTGGCTCTGGGATATTCTGGCCTCCGACTTCACGCCCAACGAGAGAGCCATGTTTCTGAAGGTACTGTGCATGTTACCTAGACGTGCGTGCATGCATACGTAGATATTCTCCTGAAACTAGACCAGTGTAACAACACACTCGAGGGGAAATGACGTGGTCAAGAGGACCTCCTGTGATCAGCATGCCGTCCCATCGGCGGGCTACACCTTCCAAGTAGGCAGGTCAGGCAGTAACCGGGGAGGGCCTTGAGGTGAGCGAACCTGCACGACCTCTGCAGGGACAGGCATGCTCCGCCTGTCACTCCATCTGCCCCTTCACTGGTGCTAGCCTTGCTCACGCCTCCCTTGCTTTCCCGTCATTATAGAAGTGAGTAGTGCTGTTACCTTAAGAAACTAGAGACAGTCTGTTCTACAGGGTAGGATTTAAACAGTCTCATCTCTACCTCTGGAGAAATGGGACTACCTCTGCGCAGCTTTTTTCTCAGTAGTCTGCACACACACCACCACATGTGCAATGTCCCAATTGAATGCGCACAAAGGGGCTGTTAGTGTATGTTTTGCAAATAGAGTGGCTTGCATTCACCAGGACTCCTGTACTGGGGTCTTTCAAGTTGTAATGTTCAAAGTGTGACAGCCCCGCTGAGACCCCTCCCCGGCGGGCGTTTGTTCCTGAACTCCACACGGCCTCCACCAGACACCCTCAAAGGCTGCTCATGTCCACCGGTGTGGATTTCACGCCTTTTAGTCTGAGACCAGCCCAAAGACTCGTGTGAGGGGTGTCCCAGTCCTTGGGCCATGTGCCCGCTGTGACCCGTCCTGTCGGCCGAGCAGCAGTGACTGGCCCGTGACTGGAGCAGTGAGACTGAGGGCCCATTTCTGAGGGGCTGCCGGCCCCTCTGACCCCTGCCCCGCCTTGTGTTGCAGTTTGTGACCAGCTGCTCCAGGCCCCCGCTCCTGGGATTCGCCTACCTCAAGCCTCCTTTCTCCATCCGCTGTGTCGAAGTGTCGGATGACCAGGTACCACGGCTGGGGAGGGTTGTGCACGATGCTCACAGCAGGGCAAGCCCCTGACTCCTGGGAGCTGGGGAGAAGGTTCGCTGTCCTCCTGGGAGCAGGCTGACCCTGCTGCCTCAGCTCAGTTGGTCCTCCTTCCTCCCTCAGGGAGGAGTAGCTGGAAGTGTTTTTAGTCACCGCTGCTCTGCCAGGCTCCAGGTCTGAGAGGCAGTGCGGTTGAGGGTGAGGGCATGGGCCTAGGGAGTGAACAGGCACAGGTTTGAATGCCAACTCCTCCACCTGCTGGCCACACAGCTGAGCAGGCTGCTCCGCTTCCTGTCTTCTATAAAGGGAATGAATGCCCTAGGGTAGGGGTGTCGAACTCAATCAGAGAAGGGGCCAAAATCTAAAATCCAGCCTAAATCGCGGGCCGAATGGTTTACTGAACAGTCATAAACTGTCATTGTGATGGAAACGCAGCGGAGTGCAGTGATGATAGCGCGGTGCGGGCCACATAGCAAGGCCTGGTGGGACAGATTTGGCCCGCGGGCCTTGTGTTTGACATATGTGCCCTAGGGGTTGTCATCCTCTGCAGGGTTGGTGCTCAGAGAAGCCCTTGTTAAAAGTGTCTCCCTCCCGCCCTCCCCCCACTCCTGCAGCCTGGTGGCCTGAGTGCCACGCCTTTCAGGATACTGCAATCTGGGCTCCAGATCCTCCCCGTGGGACATGAGCCCCCTTGGCTGGAGGAGGCTGCCCCAAGCTAGTCTGGCCAGGCCAAGCACTGGCAAGGTCGGAGAGGAAGTGTGAGGCTGCACTCAGACATGTTTGGGGATCTAAAGCATTTGCACTGCATACTGGCCCTCTGAAGATTGGTTACTCAGTAACTAGCGGTTACCCAGAGGCCCCATTTCCTGGCGCGTCCTTAACACAGGAGTCCCTGTGCTGCCCGAGGAGGGGGGCTGCTCTGTGCACTCACCTCTCGAGGCTCGTCCTCGGTGTGGGCCGGCCCTGGTGGTGGAGTGCCCACTCAAGGCCCAGCTTCGCCAGGGCGGTGTGCACATCTCGCTCAGCACCTAGGTCCTCCCGTCCTGGCACTGCCCAGGCTCCCTCACTGGGCACCTCCAACCCAGGCTGTGCTGTGTGCTTGCAGGACACTGGGGACACCCTGGGCAGCGTGCTCCGGGGCTTCTTCACCATCCGCAAGCGGGAGCCAGGCGGCCGCCTGCCCACCTCCTCCACCTGCTTCAACCTGCTCAAGCTGCCCAACTACAGTAAGAAGAGCGTCCTGCGGGAGAAGCTGCGCTACGCCATCAGCATGAACACGGGCTTCGAGCTGTCCTAGCTCTGGTGCCGGCTGCCTGCCTCAGACTCCTGCCCACTGGACCTCAGCTCCAAGAGGCAGCGTGCCCCGGGCCTGAAACCAACATGCCAGGCGACTGCAGCCCTCACACCCTCCCTGTTGCTATGAGCCTCCCGTGGCCTCAAGAACTTGGGACGCACGTGCGACTCTACACAACATTCTCCAGGTGACACTAATGGAAGGGGGGTCGGAAATAAACCTCGATTCCGCCAGCATCGGTCGTTTCTCGGTACTCCCAGTGGCCGGAAGCCCAGGCCCACGACGGTGGAGGGGCTTCTCTTTTTGGCAGTTTGCTCTTTGGTGAGTCAGTCTGTCCTTACGTTTCTGAGTGCGCTGTGCATGGACAAGGCCCAGGCACGCCAAGGCTCCAGGCCGGTTTCCGTGACCTGGGCCTGTGTGCACGAAGCCTAATTTGTGTGAGACACTCTCCTGTTTCTAAAAACTACTCAGGTAGCCTCTATGCATCCGACAGTCTCGGCCTCCAGCCCATCCCCAGCAGCCTCTCTCCAGACAGCCAAGACCCCCTGCTCCCCAGGGAGGCAGAGGTGCCTGCTGGAAGGTCATGAGCACAGAAGTGTGGGCGCTGCTCCCATTGGCCTAGATGCTCTGAGTCCTCAGCAGGCCAGCTGCTAGGGCGCCTCCACTGGCATGTTCCAGAAAGCGCGTTCACCCTGCATCCTGGGTTTGCCAGAAAACACCAATTGGCCCTAAGAGCAGCTCCGTTTCTAGAAGGTGCGGCTGTTACCCAAAGCCTCCTGGTTCCCAGGAGCAGCTGCCTTCCTCCTGCTTCTCTGCCCGCCTGTTAAGTAGGAGGAAACAAATCTTAGCCAAGGTCCTGTCCTTCTGGGCATGGCTTTGCTCAGATCGTAAAATCCATGAAACTGAGGTCTCACCCCCGTCCATCCTCAGCACAGGAAACCCAGGAGACCTCTGCACTGACTCAGCTCACGAGTCTCAGGAAATTCACGGCCCCTGGTTGGTTTTCTTTGTTTTACTGTTTGTTGGTTTTTGTCAAACCACTGTGCTCCTCTGTCCTCATTCTTCACCTGTATCATCAGAACTGGACTCTAGACCCAGGGAACTGAGGCAAAGGCCGTGTCAGTGGTCCATGTTGACAACCATCCACCCTCGTCCACCTCATCACACTCCTTCAGTCTCCCCACCATGGAGACTGAGCCAGACTAGAAGCCAGGAGTGCCTGGTCCCTCGTCTGCTCTATGGAGCGTCTTGGGCTTGTCGCTAGCTCCCTTCCAGGCAGCAAACTCCTTCCAGCGAGAATCTTCGGGTTGGTGGTGAATGGGCGTGACCAGTCTCCACGGCTTCTGTGGAGATGGGCGCCCGTGTTCCGTTAGCGTCCAGGCCTGGCTGTGCCTAGCCCCTGGAGGCCAGTGTGTGTTTTACTGTCATGGAAACACAGCAAGGAATCTACAGACAGGAATTCCGTATTTAAGATGTGTTAGTAACCCGACTCTATGGATTTGCCACTTTCTTTAAATGCTCCATTCCTCCAGAGGTCTGATGAGCATGGGTGAGCACACTGAGCAGGTTTGCGCGTTATGCTGGGGCCCATAGAATTGTCAAACTGCGCAAAGAGATGGGACCCCATCTTGATTTTCATCACCTGAGAATCATCCTGTGTGGGAATGGGTGCGGGTAGTAATTTCTAAGCATCCGCTCTAGGTCTCTCTTGCCGAGGAGAAGGAGTTTGTCATTTCATATCACTCTTCAGCAGCCGGAAATATTGCACTACCTAAAACACTGACTTTGCTTTCATAGCTGGCTCTTGACGACTCTAAAACGATGTGGATTTTTAAAATATAAATAATAAATAAGTGATCAAACAAAAAGGTGTGGGTTATTTTGTTTTCACAGATAACTTATAGATTAAAACGTGATCGACGGCTTTATAAAACATAAATGTAAAGGTGCACTTCAGCCCACGATGGCTGTTCCGCTTCCTCTGAGGGAGCGCTTTCCAAGCACGTGTCTGGGAAGCTCAAGGTGGGCTGCTGGGGCGGAAGCACACGGGCTCTCACAGCGGCAGGAAGACACGAAAATAACGTAACAGACCTCTGGTTCTCCTCCTACCCAGAGTTCAGAGCAGCGGACAATTTGTCATTAAAGCTGATGTCACCCCCTGTACCCCCGGTGCCCATCCCTCTCACCCGCTTCTCAGAGGAGCCGTCACCCCACAGGGCACGTCTTACACAGCCATGTAAAAGAGACAGATGCTCGTAGAAAAGAACCCAGGCAACTAAAACATGTGTGAAGTGAAATTTTGCAGCTTCATCTAGACAGACTCCGCTCTTCCCCCTTAGTGAGGATGACTTGCAGGACACAGCCTTGTCTCGTTCTGTTCAACAAACGCAGCAGCTTTACATTCCACAGAAAACCCATCTCAAACCTGCCCGTCTTCTGTGGATTTTCCCCTCCTCCTCTGGAGTCCTGTTCTAGTGCCGGTACCAGACTGTTTTGATTAGGGTAGCTTTGTAATATAACTTGATATCTGGAATTGTGATTCCTCCAAGTTATACTACAAAGCCACTGTAATCAAAACAGTTTGGTACTAGTACAAGAACAGGCATACAGATCAGTGGGACAGAACAGAGAACCCAGAAATTGACCCAAGCCATGAAGCTCAATATTTGACAAAGGAAGCAAGAGCATACAATGGAGTCAAGAGTCTCTACAATAAATGGTGCTGGGAAAATTAGACCGATACATGGAAAAAATGAAACTAGACCAGCAACTTACACCATACATAAGAATAAACTAAAAGTGGGTTAAAAGTCTTAAATGTAATTCATGAAACCATAAAAATCCTAGAAGAAATCATAGTAGCAAAATCTTTGACATCTCATAGCAATATGTTTACAGACCCATCTCCCAAGGCAAAGGAAACTAAGGAGAAAATAAATAAGACATCAAAATACAAAGTTACACAGCAAGAGAAACCACCAACACAATGAAGAGCCCATTGTATGGGAGAAAATATTTGGCAATGATACATCTGATAAAGGGTTAATATCCAAAATATACAAGGAACTCATACAACTTAAAAGATAAACAATCCATTTAAAAAATGGGCAAAAGACATTTCTCCGAAGAGGACTGGATGGCCAAGAGATACATGAAGAAATGCTCAGTCACTAATCATTTGAGGTGCAAATCAAAACAATAAGGTATCATCTCACACCTGTCAGAATGGCTACCACCAACAAATCAATAAATGACAAGTGCTGGCGAGGATGTGGAGAAAAGGGAGCCCTAGCTAGTTTGGCTCAGTGGTTACAACATTGGCCTGTGGAACTGAAGAGTCCCAGGTTAGATTTCAGTCAAGAGTACATTCATGCCCAGTTACAAACTTGATCCCCTGTAGAGGGCGTGCAGGAGGGGCCAATCAATGATTCTCATAATTGATATTTCTCTCTCCCTTTTCCTTCCTCTCTGAAATCAATAAAAATATATTTTTAAAAAAGGGGGTGGGGAACCCTAGTACACTGTTGGGAATGCAGGCTGGTATAACCATTATGGAAAAAAAGTATGGAGTTTCCTCATAAAGCTAAATATGGAACTACCATTTGACCCAGTGATCCCACTTCTAGGAATATATCCTAAGAAACCCAAAGCAACCAGTCAAAAAGAATGTATGCATCCCTATGTTCATAGCAGCACAATTTACAATAGCCAAGATTTGGAAACAGCCCAAGTGCCATCAGTAGATGAGTGGATAAAAAAGTCCATTTATACCATGGACTCCTATGCAGCAATAAAAAAGAATCTCTTACCTTTTGAGACAGCATGGAGGGACCTGGAGAGTATCATGCTAAGTGAAATAAGTCAGTCAGAGAAAAACAAGTATCACATGATTATACTCAATTGTGGAATCTAAATAACAAAATGAACCAATGAACGGAGTGGATCCAGAGACATGGAAGCATAGACGAATGCAGAATCTCATAGGGAAGTGGAGGGAGGGTGGTGGGTAGGAGGTATCAACCGAATACCTTGTATGCATATAACCCATGGACACAATAAGGTGCTGAAGGCCAGGGGGAGGGGCGGGGAAGGAAGGAGGCAGTCAATGGGGGAAATAAGAGAAAACAAAAAAACCCAGGGAACTTGACTACCAGTGTTACTTTCATTTATTTCCATGTGCACATTTCCAAAGGACAATGGCAGACTGGCACTAAAACCAAACCAATCAACTGGAATATCATTACTGACCAAAATGAGAATTTCCTGGTTGAGGTGTTAGGAACGGGGTCTTGTTCTTATGCCCGTGTTCCGCTGGTGTACACTGGATTGGAAAACAGAGCAACAGAAACCAGGCACAGAGGATGTCTCCCTCTTCTCATGCTTTAATCCCATACCCTGTGCTCCATGTACAGAGGAGTCTCCCCAGTCCTTGCCACTCGCACAATCAAAGCAGGTGAGGTTCATAGTTAAGTTATTCAGCCTCATTTCCACAGAACCTTTACCAGGCAATAGAGACCCTTGGGCCATGGGATACTATGACTTAGTTCTTAATTACATGAAAATGAAATCACAGAGAAGCAGACAATGCAAACACGTGAAAGCCATTTACTTTTAGTAAATTCTTCAGGGTCCCAGGTGCTGGGGTTCCTTATGTTCCCTGATACCACAGAACCAGGGTAGGGATGCAGGGGGTTAGGTGTCAGGAGAATAGTCTTGAAAGCCTCGGCCAGCAGTAACAGCCTTTTCTTAATTGTTCCATAATCTGATCCCAGATCTCCAGTTTTATGAGCGATGTGACCCAATGCCTTTGTAAGGCGACACTGTTCCAAAGGGCCCTCATAGACCCCTGTGGAGAGGGTGGGGTGGGCGGGCAGGTTTGTACGTATGTGGGAATGTAAATGTTTTCATTATGATTATGTTTTGTTAAATCCCTTGGCACCCAAATGCCACATCCCACTTGTAGTAGAAAGTGTTGGGGACAAAACCAAGAAACTGTTAGAACAGTAGGAAGGCGAACAGCATGAGAATTCTAAAAGAAGGGGAAGAAAAACCCACAAGGAAAGAGGCTTGGGACAAGGTCCTCCTTTTTTGCGGTGTCTGGCACTGGCATCACTTTGTCAATGGGAATGGAGCCCCCTGTCAAGGTCCGTATGAAGCAGCTTTGAGGTTTTCACCCATCTGACACTTCTCCAATCTCTCCCCAGTGTCACGGACAGTGCCCGGTGAGGAAGTGAATCAGTGAGATGTGTAGTTATCCCGTGAGCGGCTAGCAAAGCAATCTGAATGCAAATGTCTGGCCGTGAGTTCAGGGCTGTGTGCTTTAAGATCTGAGCCCTTACCAAACCTAAGGAATTGTCCTGGGCAACTCCAACTCGAGGCTGCTTGGTCTGTAAGGTATCTAACAGCCTATTTCTGGGGAAATATAATAACCACAACTCTTAAGACTTCTAATTCTCCTGCCTCATACCGATGACAGCGAGGCAGGCACACTCCAGTCAAGAAGCCTCAGCTCAGGGTGTACTTTGGGCAAAATAGCTCCTTAAGGAGAACTTGAGAGGGGCGTTTACTTAATTGTGGAAAGAGCTTGTCAATCTGGGCAAGTCAGAAAGACTCCCCGGAAAAGGTCTCCCCAAGATAAACAGAGGGCTGCTCCTCGCCTACCCCGGGGTCAGGGCTGAAGGAAGACGACCTATCATGGGGGCCTAGCTGGGAGGTGATTCCTGAGTGGGTCCTCTGGTGCCTGATTAAGTGATAGCCTCTGCTGAAGCTCTTCCCACAGGCAGGGCACGTGAACGGTTTCTCGCCAGTGTGTGTTCTCTGATGCCTGATGAGGTGGTCCCTCCGACTGAAGCTTTTCCCACATTCATTGCACTGGCAGGACCTCACTGCAGCGTGTCCTCTCAGGTGCTTGGCAAACGCAGCCCTGTGGCCGAAGCTCCGCCCACACTGGCCACAGAGATAGAGCTGCTCGGTATCGTGTGCCTTCCGGTGCACCAGGTACTGCCTGTGGTCGCCGAAGTACTCTCCACACTCCCCACACATGTAGGGCTTGTCTCCGTGCTGGATTCTTTGGTGTGTTGTTAGCACAGATTTCTGGCTGAAGTTTTTGCCACAAATAGTACAAAAGAAAGGTTTTTCTCCTGTGTGCGTCCTGTGGTGCCTAACAAGATCTGAAGTCCAGCGAAAGTGCTTTCCACATTCATCACATCTGTAGGGCTTCTCAATGGGTGTTTTCTCAGCTGTGCCCAGGGGGGCGGTCTCATTCAGATTCTTCTGGTTTAGGGGGAATTTATAAGGAGCGCCCAGGATGTGGATCTTTTGGTGCCTGGCAAGATGTGAGCTCCGTGTGTAACTTTTGCCACACTCCAGACATTTATAGGGTTTTTCTCCTGTGTGAGTTCTCAGGTGTCTAACGAGGTGGGAGTTGCACGTGAAGTTTTTCCCACATACAGGACAGCCATGAGGTTTCCCTAACAGGGAGTGGATAGGTACGGTATCCTGAAGATTTATTGAACTAATGTGAGAAATATTTGTATCAAAACTTTCATCAAGTCTACCTGGATCGTCCTCAAAGACTATTTTCCAATCTGGAGTCTGGTGGATTTCTGGATCTCCTAAAACAGATGAGTGTAGATTCTCCAAATTCAGATCTTCTTGCTCAAGAAACTCGTCCTCATCGTCACTCCTGTCTCCTGAAGAGATGGTAAAAGGAGAAAATTATAGAGGTAATGACGCCTTCTACACAATGGGGGCGGGGGGGGGGGGGGTGTTAATTTTAAATCAGAGATCTGGAAGGGCCAGAACACATAGAGAGAAGCCCATATTGCATAACTGTAGAGACAGGGATAAAAGGAAATAGTCATATGAATGCCTGTCATATGCCAGGCACTTTCTTATGTTATCTTAAGCTATTTGTAGCCTTAATTTGAACAAATATTATAATCCCCATTTCACAAATGTGGAGGCTGAGGATCACGTTTACATAAACTGCTTAATAAATGGTTTAGCCACAATTCCAAAAGTCCCGATATACCCAAACTACCACCACCACCATTTTGTATTACATATACCTCAGACAAAAATAATGGGAGGGGTAAGAGGAGAAAAAGGAAGGATTTGGCATTTAGAGGGAGACAGAAGTAATGCCTGACATAGTGGAAGAACCAATGAGGGCGATACCTGAGAGAGAGAGAGGGGAGCACTGACTAAAGGAACTGCCAGCTCCTTTGTGAATCCCTTGGTCTCTCCTCACCTGTGTAGGTAAAAGTCAGGACGTCTGGCTCTTGAGGGTCTTGAGGCTCTAGGATATCTGGAACCAAAGGGTCTTCTTCTAAAACGTGGGAGATCTCATCTAATCTGGGGATTGGAAATGCTGTTCCAGAGGGGAAACAGGACATGATGATTGGTTAAACAATTCCCTGTGTAAAGGCACATCAGCCAAGTCAGTCATTCAAATCTTTGGTCTTTTTAGCTTGAGTACCTCCAACTAAGTACTGCATAGTTTTTGTCTTTTACCTATAACTCAGCAATTACACAACTCAATGCTACCCTCTTTTCCCATATTTAAATAAGTAGATTATCTCCAACTTTTATTGCTTGTTTCAAAGCGCATGCTTACCTCAAATATATTAAAGCAACCTCTCTATATATACATATAAAGGCCTAATATGCAAATTGTCCCCTCAGGGGTTCGACTGGGAGTTCAATCGCTCACTGTGAGGTGTGCTGACCACCAGAGGGCGGTGGGGAATGAAGGAAGGCCCCAATCAGCCCTCAGCCAGGCCTAGGGACCCTTCCTGTGCACAAATTTTGTGCACTGGACCTCTAGTAATATAACTTTACTTTAAGTTTCCAACCATTTTCTAAGCATTTCTCTTCCTTTTAACTTAGAAAAATATAATCTTACTCAGCTAAACTCTTCAATCTCACTGGTGGGGTAGGCATAAGAAAAGTCTAGTACATACAGTCTAAGCTCTAAGCACCCATAATTTCCAATAGGAGAAAGATGTCTATGTTCAGAACACTCTAGAAACACTTGAACTTCCTTACACAAGGAGACCACAATTCCACAGTCTTCTTCCAAGACATATTCTCCATAAAACTCTGTCTGTGTTGGATCCAGATCATCCCACTGGTCCTGGGAGAAGCATACAGCCACATCCTTGAACGTTACCAATCCCTGAAACAGCAGCAGGATTCAATTAAAATGCGGTGCCTCATGGAGCCTCACATTCTGTGCCTGGACTGAGGTCTCTGGTATAGGCAGAATCCTCCCAGGGGACAGAAGGGACCCAAATGGGATGCTTGGTTCCCTCAGGAAACCTGTGCTTCACCATGTCCCTGCTTCCCTAATGGCACTTTCACACTGGCCTGCTACCGCTACCTCATCTTACTTCCTTTCAGAACCATGTTCTTCCTCCTCTTGAGAATATTGTTTAATTACAAAAAAAAAAAGTCTTAAAAGCCATCACTCAATTCCCTAGTTGATGCTTTAATGCTACTTACATTTGTATAAAAAGTCTTCTTTTCTGAGAAGCTTTCCCTAACTGACCTTCTCTAACCACCCTTAACTTACAAAGTCTACATAGCATAAACAGGACGTTTTCCTTCAGCTACACTAGTCTAAAAGCACAGGTAAATTTCTTCCTTTGGCCCCAGCCACATAACTTCACTTCTGGGCTCCGCCTAAGGTCAGTCTTCATAATGTGGTGGCCTGACTGAATGCCCTTGGAAGAGTACACCATGAAGTTCAGAAATCGCTTCTGCCGCAGTCAGTCATCCTTACCAATGAGTGTCAAGTTTATTCCTAAAAACCAAAACAAACCCCCATTCAACAACGTCCAAGTTGCAGTGGAGAGTTACGAAATAATCCCATTCGGTTAGTCGCCCTGGTCAGTGGCAAATAAAGGGGTTTTGGAGCCTGCAGATGCAACTGAGACCATTATAATTTATCTCATGAGATGCAACTCCCTTTCCCCAGCCCCACAAGTGGAGAACAGAGTTTAAACTGACAAAAGAGTGGAAACTGGTGTCCTGTCTGACCCACTGAGTATATGGCTCTTCCAATTCTCTATGGAATAGAGGGACACCAGGGTGCACCTGTGACAGAGCAGTAAGAAGGGCGACCATCTCTGGGTTTCCGGTGTTCCTCTCCTCAGGAAGGTCTGGGTCCTGGGGCACTGAAACCTCTATGAAGAAAAGAGGGCAGAGGTCAGCAATAGGCAATGCACCCCTGTAACTAACAAAGAGCTGAGCAACCCCCATCATCTTGGGAATCAAGGGCAGCTCCAGTAACCCAAACAATGCAATCTACAACACTAAGGATGCTAAGAGAATGACTGCTCTCTAAGCTCAGCCTAGTCATGGGACTCGAACTAGTACTGTCTCCTCTCAACACCTTGTCCTGTGAGTTATTCCTATTCCAATCTCCCCAGCCTCGCTGGTACAGAAGTCCACTCCCCACCCCCCGCATTCTGCCGGGGCTTCCCACCGATCTCGTGCAGGGGCTCCAGCTCCAGTTCATGGCACAGGCTCTGCTCTGCTGGTGCCCCCGGATCTGGGCTCTGCGTGACCTCCACATGGGGCTCCTCTGGGGTCGGGGTCTGCGCAGGATCCTGCGGCTCACTAGGTGACTCAGGCTCTGCTCCTGGGTGCACTGTCTCCTCTGACAGGACTTCCTGGCCATGAACATGGGCAGTCACCTGGGAATAATTCCAACTTCCAATCACCATGGAGTCAGGAGGAAAGTCTTGGTTGTCATCGGGGCTCATTTTAGGAGAAGCTGCCAATAGAAAAAAACTCCCAGAGGGACCCAGATGAAGAGGGGAACCCCTAGTTCCATTGGGGCATGCAGAGCTGTTATCCTTGCCCGATCAAAGCAGGAACAATCAGATACTGCAGTGCTTTCTTGCCTCCCTCAACCGTGTCCCTCCCCACCAGGGCTGAGGTCTTCCCATCGCCACCTGTCCCACCCGCAGCAGCCCTCGGTGTTTGCTTCATGTGCCGTTGACCTGGGCGGGAATCTGTGACTGAGGGTTTATGAGAACCTTTGAGGAAGTGACAAATCTTCCTCCCCAGAAATTGGAGATTCAACATCTAAAGAAGGAAAAAACGAAAACCATGTGACCCTGGGGTGATGAAGGCCCTTAAGGTAGTCCCTAGGTGGGTGTTTCAAAAACCAGAAAATAACTCACACACACAGACACCGCCTCTGCCCCGGGGCTTATGGGTCTAGGTGCAACCCACGGGCAGAGCCAATTAAATTTAAAGGTGATTTATGGGGCCCTGTCAGCTCTCCTCCCAAATCCATCCTTCCAGCAAATGGTCCCCCTCCACATCACACAGGTCAGGACTCCCCCTCCTCACCCACCGCCTTGGTGTCCTGGGTTGGTTTTGCAAACCCTCCACCAGTGTCACCGCCTCCTCGCCACTCTCTGGCCGCTGGCCCTGCACCCAGCTCTGCAGCTCTCCGGGCAGGACGGTAAGGAACTGTTCCAGCACGAGCAGCTCTAGGATCTGCTCCTTCGTGCGCCTCTCTGGCCTCAGCCACTGACGACAAAGTTCTCGGAGTCGAATGAGAGCTTCCCGAGGGCTGGCTGCTTCCTGGTAGCGGAAGCGTCGGAAGTTCTGGTGGGAGGTCTCAAGCGCGGGGAAGTTCTGACGGGAGGTCTCAAGCACGGGGTCGTCCGTCTGCAAGACAGATTCTGGCCTACAGGTGAAATCATCTTCCAATTTCACCAGTAGAATCCCCTCTTCTTCCCAAGGATCCTGGTCCTCTGGTTCCAAGGCCGTAGCCATTCTCTGACTCTGGGCTGGTCTCACACCATCTAGAGCTCACACTGTCATTCCCCCCCAGTCTCGGCCTGGGCACCTCGACGAGTTTCTCCCAAGGGACCTGGGGTAGAGAAGTAGAGACAAACAGTGTAAGCACAGAATTATACACAGGGATAGCCGTTCTGAGTTTAATCATAATCTTGCACATATAACGCTTCCTCAAGCTATTAAATCCCCTTTCCCCAAATCTGCATAACCTGAAAACAAATCTAGTTGGACCAGATGACGTATGTTGAACATGTATGTTCCCCGCCTCTTTTCCTGGGCATTTCTACTTAAATGGCTAGCATCATGGATACTCAGAATTACCTGCTAAAAGCTGTGGTACTGACCAAGGTGTGTTACATATATACTAGGATGTATATTCTCAGAAGAAATACATCGACAGGACTGAAATAGAAAGAGAAGGCCTTATCAAAGTTCATTCTGAACCGAATCATACCCAGTATTCATTTCTTCTGTAAAATGGAAACGCTCATAGATTTGAGGGGAGGATTGTAAATTAACCGTGAAGAAAGCCACATATAGTGGCTGGCACACAGGCACCCCCAAAAGCAACTTTTCTCTTTTAAAACATCTTTAGTTGGAAGACCTACAGGCACTCACACGCAAGCGTTCAAAACGGAGTTTATTCATCAGTCTTACCCTCAACCCTCCCTCTTCCTGGATTCCTGTCTAGGCTGGATCATCCCTAGTTAAATTCAATTTTGTAATCCTAGGATTCAGCGTTAATTCTTCCTCATTGCTTACAGCTCATTAAACTGATTCTACCTCCTACCCTCTCCTTCCTTCCCAGAGACTGCTGTACTTTGAGCCCTCACCTCTTACCTGCACCACTGCCATGACCTACCTAGGTGCCAGCAGCACTCAACTGTGAGCAAAAGGCAACATAATTACATACGAAGCTTTTGCAAAACAGTATCACACATCTTTTTTCTGAATATTCTGATTCAGCCAATCTAGGCAACTGTATCTTTAGAAGCGCTAGGTGTGGTTTGGATGTGCATCTTGGTTGAAACACCGAGGGTGTGTAAGGTTAAGAATGAGAGCCTTGGGATAGGCTGCCAGGGTGTGAATCCTGGCTCTACTGTTCCCTATGAGGCCATGGGCAAGTCCTTATTCTCCTTATGCCTGTCCCCCCATTCATAGAGGGCATAATGGCATTCATCTAATAGGTACTATGAGGATTATATGTATTAGCACCTGTGAAGTACTTAGAAGAGTGATGGCATGCCAAAGTTAACTTTTTAAAATATTTCTAAGTTTTAGTTCAAATTGCACCACTCAGCATTTAAAAAATAATTTCATCCCTGGCCAGGCGGCTCAGTTGGTTGGAGTGCCATCCTGTACAATTGCAGGTTTGATTCCTGGTCAGGGTGCCTGTGAGAGGGAACCCATTGATGTATCTCTTACAATGATGTTTCTCTCTCTAAAATCAATTAAAAAAAATATCCTCAGATAATAAATAATAATAATAATGGTAATTTCTTACTGTTAGTAAGATCAGTTCCAAAATCCTCAGCATATGAAGCTCTTCACAACCAGCCCTCAATCTATTTTGCACTTCACACCCTACCCTTTCCTCTACCCTGCCTGGTTGTAACAAATGCATTGCTCATCTCCCTACAATAGGGTGTCTTTCCGGCCTCCGGGCCTGTGTGAAGGCAGTTCCTTCTGCATGGAATACCCATACCCCACCCCCAATGCTGCACGGTGTTCCCACTTCTTCTTGACAGGTCCCTCTTCTCCATCCCCATGACCTGCAGGGTAGGTCCTTCTCTGTTCTCCTCTGGATTATTAAAACTGCCTCCAAATGTGAGCTACCTGCCTCCAGGCTTACCTTCAAGTTACCAGTCACAGGAGTAAGTAAATCTGGTCCCTATTTAAGACCCTCAATCAATCCTGACTTGTAAGTGAAATACAGACTTCCAACTATTGTATTTACTAGAGGCCTGGTGCACAAAATTCGTGCACGGTGTGTGTGTGTGTGTGTGTGTGTGTCCATGTCCCTCAGCCCAGCCTGCACCTTCTCCAGTCTGGGACCCCTCGAGGGATGTCGACTGCCCGTTTAGGCAGGATAGGGCCTAAACAGGCAGTCGCACAATCCAGGACTTCTGGCTCCCAACCACTCGCCTGCCTGCCTGCCTGCCTGCGTGATGGCCCCTAACTGCTTCTGCCTCCCAGTCCGATTGCCCCTAACTGTCCTCCCCTGCAGATTTCCAGGAAGAGGCAGCTCTTCAAGACTCCAGGCTAAGAGAGATTCAATTCCAGGTACCTCCCCGGCCCCCATCAGTTCCCCAGATCATGTCTCCTTGTTGGAGCACAGATTTTAGAACCCCAAACTCCAGAAGCCTTTATTTTGGTTTCAAATGTCCTTGGGCTGTGGTGGTGTTAGCTTGTAGTTACTATTCTAGTTTTTATTTCTAGAACCTATTCATTTAACCTGTAGGGTTTTTTGTTTGTGTGTGTTTGTTTGGTTGGGTTTTTTGTGTGAGGTGGAGCAAATGGATGCAAGAATGTAATGGGCAGGAGCCCCCTCGACATTAGCTGCACCTGCAATATTGCAGGAAGGTCTGAGTGGTGAACTTTCTAACATAAAGAATCAGCCAATGGCTTCCCATTGTCCAGAGAATAAAATTTAAACATACTTGATTCTCAAAGCCCTTCACGACCTGGCCCCTACCTACTTCTCTTTGCCCACGACTGCCACTCCCACTGAATGTCACTGCTTCACAGTTCTTTCCTGTGCCCTCACCAGGATTTCACGATGCTGTTCACTCCTCCTGAAAGCCCTTTCCTACCACCCCAGTTGGTTAACTCCACTCATCCGTCAGCGGCTGTTTTCCCAGGATGCCTCCCTGACCGGCCAGACCACCCCCACAGGAACGAGCACTGTGCCCTATCACAGCACACGTATCTACTTTTTTGTGTGGCAAGAACTGTTCATCTTGCTGTTGAACTCACCAGGCTGTAAAGCTCTGAGGACAGGGACAGAAGGCAGCCAGCTCACTGCCCATCACGCAACAGGCACTCAACACACAGAACACTTCGGGCTTTTAAGTCTTTCTCTGGAAGGACGGACAGTGTCTTATTAATTCGTGTTCAATTATCCAGCAAACCATGTGCTAGACAAGGAAGGAATACGGAAGACGGTTTACTGCTTGGACTGTGACGTAACAGAACTCATTGCAAGGAGTCTTCAGGCTGCCCTGGGGCCATCCAAATGCAAGTCACACGAAGTTGTGCATTTGGAAAAGAAATCATTTTACTTTGAGGATTTGAATAAACTTTAATAAGCACAAAACCAGACATCCAGTAATTTAATGAAACTACTGATCCAGACAAAACTTCCAACCCCCCTCCCCAAATCTTGCAAAGTAGAACCCATGCAAGGTTCTACTAGGACCCCTCATTGCTTTCATGATGTACTAGCTACAAGAGATGCCCTACTATGAAAAGGGTTCTGTTCTCACAAGACTTCGATTTCCAAAGGAAAAAAAATGCATCAGCGCCTCATAAAAATGGCCATTTTTAGCCCGGCGAGTGTGGCTCAGTGGTTGAGCATCAACCTATGTACCAGGAGGTCACGGTTCAATTCTGGTTCAGGGCATATGCTTGGGGTTTTGGGCTAGATCCCCAATAGGGGGCGTGCAGGAGGCAGGCAATCCCCGTTTCTCATCCTTGATGTATCTATCTTCCTCTCCCTCTCTAAAATCAATAAAAATATATATATTAAAAAAGTGCCATTTTAAAAGGCCCTTGAGAATCATGAAATGAGATTTCCATGCTTGTTTGTATTTGCGTTGGCAGCCCGAGGAATGGAGATGAAGGCAAACAGATCCCCAGCAGCAGAATGGAGGGAGGAAGGGGAGTCCTTGGTGGGACAAGCGATGGGAAGGAACAGGAGGCGCGCAGTGCTGTGGAGAGAGCAGCAGACGAGGTACCCAAAAGTGAAAGGCCCAGCAAGGGTTTCATGGGATACCACAAGGGCCCTTGTCACAGTAAAGCCCTCTGCAGGTAACTGCTCTCCTCACACAAGATTAGCTGAGATCTGGGTGAGTTTATGAACTAAAATGTGCTTGCAATTGTCAGGTATCAGTATCAGAGCTAGAACATGGACACTATTTTATCCTCTAATTCACGGGGTATACTACACTGTAAGTCTCTCTTGCAAATTTGTTGTCCTCACTATTCTAACACCTTTCCATTCAATGTCTGTCCCTGGAAGGGTTCCACAATGACAGCTAAAAACTGAACGAAAGGATAACACAGACAGAATGTGAAGCCAGGCCAGGAAGAGTGAAAAACTTGGTTCCAGAAGGTTCTGAAATGATGTATGCAGAGGTGTTTCACAAGCCTAGGTCCCATGGCAAGTCAAGAGTGTATTTCTATGAGGCAGAATTGGGGGAGAGATGTGGGAAAGCTAAGACCTTTCTCCAATCTTGGTCCAGCTTCTCTGCTTCTTATCTGAAGTGTCGCAGCCCGTAAAGACCCTCCAGAATTCTACTGACGAGAATGGGAAACCGCAGGCAATGGAAGGGTACCTGCTTCTCTACCTTAAAATATTACCATTTACGGGAGTCATTCTGGAGCCTAAATGACAAGGTCTGTAGTCATATCTGTCTCAAGGAGAGATAGTGACCTATTTAGTAGCAAATAATTTTCAGGGGAAAAAAAACACAAAACACAACAACAGTGATCAGAAAGGTTCAAATGATTCTATTTAGCAGACATGGCTATCCCTTCCAGTTTCCATTCTTGTCTTACACTAATTCAGATGCACAACCTAGAAATTTGAATTTGACTGCTTACTGGGTCATTGCAACAGATCTTCTTTCTCATTGCTCTAGAATAGAAATCAACTAATAAAAATTGTTAGCTGCCCTTTTCCAATGCTGTATTGTTCTTTCTGTTAGGTTAACTGTCAGATACACCAAATGTTTCTCCATGTTTTCCAGACAAAG